ACGAATGGTATAGACCTTTCAACTTCGTCTTCCTTCGGTGCTGTTCTTTCATATGAAACATTATTGGTATCTTCAATAATGAAACCACAATCACACAAAATTTTATATGTTCCAATGGTTTCTTTTGATATTTTATCTAATAAATCAAAAACTTTATCAACACCTGTGCATTTATTTAAATAATAATTTGTGTAAATATCATGATCTTCTTTCTTAATCGTATTAGTTGCATATGTCACGTTTTTAAGAGCTTTTTTGAATTTTTCGGAATCTAAAGGTGGTGAAAGTAAGATACAAGGGTATTCTTCATTATCAATAAATTGTAACTTATGTTTACGTATAAATTTAGTACCTTCTTCTGAAAGTGTTTCATCTATTTCGCCATCTAATAAATTTTGTGTTGATTCTGAGACATAATTTTTATATCTTTCTTCATGAGATTTCTGTACTTCTGATTCTGAAGCTGGGATATTCATTAAACCCTCTACTTCATTTTCATTATATTTTTCAACTTCTCTTAATTCCTTAATTTTTTCATCTATTTCATCTCTTATTTTTTCCAGTTTTTCAATTTCATTGTATTCATCATCATCTTTAATCCGTTCTTCATAATATTCAGGGAAAACATCAGGTTCTTTAGGTTTTTCTTCTTCAGATGTGGATATAAGAAATTTATAACATCATCTTTATTCATTTTTCCATCATAATCTAAATCATTTAATAACTCGGCAAATTTTTGACAATTTCTTAAATAATATTTACTAACTTCATAACACATCTCATCTAATATATCCTTTATTTCCTCGTTTGTGAATCCTAATTTTTTAACGTTGTTAGTTTTGACGCTCATTTCATACAAAATAAAAATAAATTATTCAAAAATGTAAGACATGAATTTTTAAAGTTTATTTTTTTATTTTTTATTTCATTATGGTAGTGAATCTTTCATTCATGAAAATAATTATTTCTAATTTCTTTTATTCTCTCGTACATACTAGATTTGAAGAATTCAGAACATTTCCCATAATCTCCTAAATGTTTTCTTATCCCTAACGTGTGCCAGTTATTATATGAAACTGAATAAACTTTATCTTTATCTTTACACCTTTCATCACTTCCAATATATTTATATCTCAGTTTTGATTTAGCATTTTCATATTCATTAGCGTTTAATAATTCACAGTCTTCCTTTTTAAATTGATGTTTAAGATATTCAGGATTTAATACTCTACGTTTATATGCTCCTAACTTAGTTCTAAAGGTTTTTCTACAAAATTTAGGAATTCCATCCTCTTTAATGTCATCAATGATTTCCATTTCATTATTTTCAATTTCTTCTTCTCGTTTATGAGGTCTTTGATTATGACTCCATTGATTCCATGAAATTAAATATTCTTTATCATTATATTTATACCTCATTAGCTTATTTTGGCTTTCATATTCATTTAATAATTCACAGTCTTCCTTTTTAAATTGAAGTTTAACCCATTCAGGATTTAAACAATGTTTAATTAATCGCGGAATATCTGACATCATCTATATATAGCTTCTTTTATAAAAGATAAAAAAATAAATTATTTTAAAATTAATGTTAATTTTTTAAAATGTGTTTAGTATATAATATTTATTACTAATTTATTTAATAATGTCGCGCTTTCTTACGAATTCATGACTTAAAAAACGTTAGAAATAATTTTTATATCATCTATATATAGAAGATGTGAAAATATACCTTCATCTATATATATAGACGTAACAAAAAAAGTCACACAACCCTTCCTATCCTACTACTCTTCATAGGCTGATTCAATTATATATAAAACTCAATTTTTCGTCAGAAAAACAGATCTGTTTCAATTATTTAAGGCTTTTAACTGAAGAATTTCAGCTATCTGAGAAAATTTCCGTTTCAATTCTGACTTTTGTTTCGGAGATAATTCTTGAATTTAGTCATCAAATATTTGATATATTTGGTGAATATTTTGTCAATTTTCCTGTAAAAAACATTTTTACAATACAAAATGAAAAAAAAATACAATTGAATTGGTTTCATATGTTATGTGTTGTCTCGCTAAGTTTCAAATGGATGAATTCTACGAGTTTATGCCTTTCAATTATTTAATAAATTTTTTTTGAATATGTGCAAATCTGACACATATAGTGAATACAATATTAGCAATTTGTTAATTTTAATATATTCAAAAGAAAATTACTTGAAAGTTAAATCAATTATAAATGAAATGGTAAGCTTTGGGAACAGGACAAATTTGCCACACGGCACTTTTTTTAAAAAAAATTAATGGAGCGGAGCGATACTCTGCTGCAGGAGCCCCAAGGCTCCCAATCATTACGAAAGGGAGCCTCAGGGCTCCTGAGAATCCGTCAGCAGAGGCCTTTTTATTTGGCCTCTGCTGATCAAAGATTCGGCGAAGCCATTCTTCGTCTCAGGAGCCCCAAGGCTCCCAATCATTACGAAAGGGAGCCTCAGGGCTCCTGAGAATCCGTCAGCAGAGGCCTTTTTATTTGGCCTCTGCTGATCAAAGATTCGGCGAAGCCATTCTTCGTCTCAGGAGCCCCAAGGCTCCCAATCATTACGAAAGGGAGCCTCAGGGCTCCTGAGAATCCGTCAGCAGAGGCCTTTTTATTTGGCCTCTGCTGATCAAAGATTCGGCGAAGCCATTCTTCGTCTCAGGAGCCCCAAGGCTCCCAATCATTACGAAAGGGAGCCTCAGGGCTCCTGAGAATCCGTCAGCAGAGGCCTTTTTATTTGGCCTCTGCTGATCAAAGATTCGGCGAAGCCATTCTTCGTCTCAGGAGCCCCAAGGCTCCCAATCATTACGAAAGGGAGCCTCAGGGCTCCTGAGAAACCTCTTTGAGAAGGTTTTCTTTAAGAAAACCTTCTCAAAGATGATTGTCAGCATTCACTCAAAATCTACCAAGAGTTTCAAAGTTTCAAATCTATCTGAAATGAAGCTTTGAATCTCTTGTATATCTAATTGTAGAGGTACCTTTTCAAAATGTCTTCTATTGATTAAATTTAATCAGTAAAAGTCATTTTGAAAAGGTACATCTCTATAATTGCTATTGAGCATTCACTCTTGGAACCTTGGAGCTCTTGTGTAGTGCATGAAAACTCCAAGATTCTAGCATAAAACATATATCATAGACATGATTTCTTCAAATATAATTTAAGGTTATTTTTAAAAATTATAAAAGCGTAATTTAAGGTTATTGAAAAAGTGACACTTGGCAAATTTGTCCCGCACTCGTAAGCTTTATTGTCAAATTAAACTCTCGGACTCTATGCTTTTCAAGTAAGAATTTAGTATTTGACTTAATGTGCGAACTTTCTTATTCAATTTTACCGGATAAAAGCATTCTACCATCTCATAAAATAGATATAATTCAGTCATTTAATAATAATAATCCAATAAATGAAGATAATCTCGATTTTTACTTAAATTTATATTTAAATTTAATTGATGATCCAATTATCATACAAAATAAAATTGTTACTGATTCCATTATTAATTTTCTATCACAGAATTATGAGATCTTAGATGAAGATACAATCAGCGAATTTGAATCAAAATACCAAATTCATCCTGATTCATAGATTTTTTGATTATTGCTAACATAATAAGCAATTCATTGTCAGTAAAACACTATATTTTTAGATTCAAATCAGATACACACTTTTTTCTATATCTTCATATTCTGTTTAAATGATATTTAGCTATGATAACATAAGCTATTATGTATACATATATTTTTAAGTTTCTAACATATTTCTATTTCTGTTGTCTCTTATATTCTTTAGAAACATAATATTAATCACCATTTATTATTTTTATCATTGAAACATCAATAATGTCAAACAAATATTGTCATGATTTTTTAATATCTCCTGAAAAACTGTAGCAAAAATATTATTTACAAATGATTCATGAAAAAAAATTAAATTTTTAATTCACAGAATGTTTTATATAATAGATATTGCATCATATATATTGTTGAATTTATATTATTTATGGTGATTTATTATTTGTCACTTTTCTAATTCATAAATGTCTTTATTACTGAAATATATTGATGCTCCACCTCAAAATCCAATTGATTTCAAAATTCCATTGAGTGATCCTATGGACTGGCCATTAATTCCATCCATTCAAGAACTAAAAAAAGCATTGTCAAATAATGAAAATGACGATTCTGTTCCTAGCTACTCAACATCTGAAGTTTCGCATGAAAAAATTATAGCAATTGAAGCATATTTAACATCCATTAATTTTGCCAATGAAGATTCAGCGTTTTTTACAGCATTATACCACACATCTCAAAATTTCATATTTATGAACTATAATAGAGCAAAACATGAATTATCATGTCAATGCGGCGCTCATTATACAGTTTACTATGACAAAACGCTCAAATGTTACAAAATACGAGTTGATAAATCTCATTCGCATTGTATGGAATCAACAACCATCCCCACAATAGTATTAGATTATCTTATTGAATCAAATAATGAATCAATTATCAGTAATAATTTTACAAATTTTCATCGTATCGTTCAAAAACAATTCAAAAGGGAAATAGGAGAAGATACTTTTCGAAAACGTGTAAAAGCAATTTTTCATATTACAGATTCTGATTTAGTGAATAGTTTCAAAAAACTAATTTCATTGAATAATCATATTGTTGAATCAGGAGGCTGTTCCATTATTTCTACAGGTGAAAAAAATGATAAAAATGAGTATATTTACAAAGTTAACGAATTAATTGAAGATCCAAACTTTATAATAAAATGTATTTCAATTTTACCACCGGCATCAGAATTGTTTCTTAAATCAGAAAGATTTAACAATATTCTTCTTGTGGATGCCACTAGAACCAATACAATCTGTGCGGGTAAAATGGGGGTAATTGCCACTACATCTCCAACCAGACGAGCTATTCCGATAGCATATGGTTGGTCTGTGGAAGAAGATCTTCCACTAATGTCTAGTTTATTTAAGACAATTCTCAATAAAATCACCAAAAATGACATTTCAATTATCTTGAGTGACGGCGGAACAGCTATTAAAGGGGCATTAATTGAAAATGGATTGATTCAAAAACAACGGAGGTGCATTTTTCACCTTTTCGAAGATGTGAAATATTCGAAATGTAGAAAAATAATATGGTCTTTGAATTTGGCTATAAACTCTGTTGATTATACAAACAAATTAAATGACATCAAAAAATCAATAACAGAAAATTATCCAAATTATTCGGAAACAAAAATTGATAAATTTATTAAAAAATTAAAAGACGCAAATCCCTTTAAGTTCAATTCATTTGACCAAGGATTGCAAGCTACTTCTGTTTTGGAAGCCTTAAATGGGGAATTCCAAAAAAGAAAAATTTTCGATATTATTGAAGCTTTTGCCTGGTTTACAGATGCAACAGTCAAATATGGAGTTGAGGCATTGAAAAACTGTGGTCAGCCAAAAGAAATTATCGATTTTGTAATTAAAAAATCGTTCTCATATAATGTTCACTACAGCGAAATCAAAGACTTATTTAAAGTTATTGATAGGCTTGGCTTTGAAGAAAAAATCCTTATCTTCAATGGTAAAGGATTTTGCAGTTGCAATGAAACAAAGCGTTTCGGAACCGTTTGTTCTCATATTGAAGCACTTAACAATCAAAAACCTGAATTAAGAATTAATGTAGACCAATATTTAAATAATTGTTATACAGCGAAAATATCAGATGAAAAAATTGAAGAACTGGCAAAAATGACGGCAAGTTATAAAAACTTGCCAGCTATAGATAGTTTAGAGATCCCTGAAAGAATAAGAAGAGATAAACAAACGAGAAAGAGAATGCCTTCAAAATTTGAATATAATAAATAATGTTGATTTCAAATTTTGAGTAATTGATCGTCAATTTTGAAAGGATAATAAAAATTGAGAGTAGGTGTAATTTTTAAAAAAAAGAAGATAAATCAAATATATTTTGATAAACAAATCAAATTATTAATTCATCCAAATTTTTTAAGAAATGATCGGCAATTTTGAAAGGATAATAAAAAATTGAGAGAAGGTGTAATTTTTTAAAAAAGAAGATAAATCAAATATATTTTAATAAATAAATCAAATTATTCAATTTTGATTTTAAAAACAATACTTTTATTGTAAATTTGAATTCAAATTATTGTTTTATATTCAGCCTTATATATTATTTTTCTTTAAACATTATTTTTCTTTCTTCTATTCAAATGCATTTTCAAAGCAAATTTTGAATTATCCTATATTATCTTAATTACAAATATATTTTTATTTAACTTAAATGCACAATTAATCTTTTCATAATTTATCCATTTTGATAATTTCGATTTTTTCAAAACGCTCTCAAATCTTTACAATTTGTGAGAATAATTTTATTCCCATATCAAAATTCAAATTTGTTTTTTTTTAATAATTGCATTTATCTATTAATATACTATCTATTTTTTCAATTTTTTATTTTCTATTTTTTATCAATTTTTTTCAAAATAAAATTTCTCCTAAACATTTTACGAAATCTTGCTAATATTTGCTTTCCCCATATTTATGGATGTGTTTCACCATCAATATACTTTCTATTTATTAAAATTCAATAAAGAAAAATCTCATCTTTCTAATTCCTTCATGAAAAATCCGAATTCATACTTGATTTATTATATACATTTTTACTAGCTATTGAATCAATTGTACTAACAATGTTAATTTCATTATCTAACTATAATATAAAATGTAAATTATAAAATATTGTTTAAATTACATACTAACAATATAATATTATTGATCTCATCATGCACAACCATCTTACCGTTCATTTCCATCAAAAACTCAACATTTACTATAAATATAGTAATTATATCATTTGAAAAAATCCAAATTTCCTCCTAATTCATATATTTCATTTTAAATATTATACATATTCTATGTTCATAATGCCAGATCTAAATCTCAAATAGATTTCGAAATAAATAAAGAACAGAAAGTGTTCCTCTCAAAAAGTGGAAACACTTTCCGGTTCCTCCGCCATAGAGTTCGAATTTGTAAGTACCTGGTTCTAAGATTAATTTGTAATCTGTGCATTCAGAATTTGATTCACAAGGATAATCAAATGTGTAATGTGTTTTATTGAAATTTACATTTGATTTAGCACCAAGTAATGATTCATTAACAAGTGATGCTGAAATCATCTTCTATTATTATTTCATTGTATAAAAAATTGCGAGATAAAAATGATGTGCGAAAAGTGTCATTTTATGTTAAGAATAAGGTTTGTATCAGGGAATTCAATTATCATAACAAAATAAATGCACAATAATTCAGCTTCCAAATCGGCGACCCAAATATCTCATAATTAAAATCCCCATATAATTGAAAATTTCCTTTACCCATATAATTATAAAAGTTTGTTACAGATTCAGCAAATATAAGCTAATTTGTTTTTAATATCTTTCATTCTATATGACTTAAAGATAATGCCTCTGCAGATGCTATTTACTGATTTAATTTTAAATTTGAAGGGGAAAAATAAATGAACTTCAGATTTAATTCAGTAATTTTTGATATAAATTAGATTGAATGAATAATTATAATAAAACTTTCAAATGAGATCAAATCTAAAATTGATTCTCTAAAAAATCTTTGTTTTGCTAAACAATAAATGATACAATTGATTGTTTATTTTTGTGTTATATAATTATCAAAAAATGATACTAAAATTGAAAACAATTCTAAACAATGACTCATTATCTTATCAACAATAAGATTTATCAAAAATAATTACGTAATTTTATATACATTACTGATGGTATATATAAATACTTAATTATTATTCTGAAATGCGCATATATTAGAAGTTCAAATTTAATTAAAAATTTATTGTTGGGGCATTTTCTTAGGAGAGGGTAAATTTGAATACCATTCAAAAGTAAAAATTCACAATTTGTTCGATTTGGACATATAATCTATTATTATATATAATGTAATTAAGAAAAAAAAAATAAAATGACCTGCATATATTAATTATTTAGATTGCAAGATTCAAAAAAGCTATTAAAATTAGAGACTAAATAAATAGCGAATTGATTCATATGGATTTATGTAATTGTGAACATTAAAAGAGTTTATTTATTGATCTAATAAAAAAAAGATAAAATATTAATGAGAAAATTGAAAGAATAGAGTGTCCCATTCACTCGTGTTGGTCGCAATGTATCATTCTGGGAGACATTGCCTCTGCATGTCTCCCACAATGGCACAATGTTCCTTGGAGAAAGACCTGGAAGGGGGTCCTTTCTCAAGGTCAGGGCCCCCTTCTAGTCTTTCTGGTCCTGGAAGGAGCGCTTCTGACTGGTCTGTGCGCTGCTTCCAGGAAGATCAGGAGATTGCTCGAAGTTCGCGGCAAGTGCATTCCGACACCACAGATGCACTTGCCGCAACATATAATTGCGAGTGTCTGCTGCTTTGGTCAAAAGAAGCAGCAGACACTCGCAATGCGAACCGAATTGTCCCAGAAAGACCTGGAAGGGGGTCCTTTCTCAAGGTCAGGACCCCCTTCTAGTCTTTCTGGTCCTGGAAGGAGCGCTTCTGACTGGTCTGTGCGCTGCTTCCAGGAAGAACATGAGATTGCGCCAATAAGCTCCTATCAACAAATTTTGACTAAAAATATAAAGTATCCTTTTGTGATTTAACGAATAGCTCAATTTTAAAATAGATTTGATTCTAATAATAAATTGAATGAGTTTCGCTTACGTTTAGAATTTAATGATTTATATGATTTTTTCGTTCACAGAAGAGTCATTGATATCCAATATCAAAAAAACAGCAAAGACACACCATAATAAATGATATTGAAGCTAAATATTACATATTTCAACATATCTAAAAAATTATTATAAGATTAGATCTCATGCAATGCCGAGCAGTTTCCTAAAGCATAATTACTTATTTATACAGAATCAATTATATAATATTCACATTGCAAATTATATACATTCTCACGAAGCAACATGAAATAGACTGTCCGAATTTGAATTCAAATAGAGATCTACTTCAAAAGGATTTCTTACAATATGTAATCTCGATGTTGATCACTGGAATACAAGGGATGCACGTAATTTACAAATTGTTGCAAAAATAGTAGTGCAACAAAAATTTTATTTTTAGCTTGTCACTTGATATATAACAATTGCAAAAACTCAATCAAAAATAGGATTTGAACAACTTTTTAAAATTGTGAGAAAAATTCTATCGGCACATTCTATTCAATTTTAAAGTATTTCTTTCATATTCCAATCGATTATTCAATATTTGCCAATCACAAATTTTAGTTCAAAATTCAAAAAATCCCTAATTTTAATTTCAGATGAAATCTCGCAAAAATAACATTGTTTTAACCATATAAATATATATTTTATATATTGTATAGTGATTTTTTAATATTTTTATGAGTAAAATCGAGAGTGAGGAAATGTGGACTACAAAAAACGATAGAAATGAATAGTTTACATGGGAATTCAATACTTACAAGTATTCAATGTCACTTTTGTACTCGAGATTTTGACTCTAGTATATTTTTGAAATTGAACTGGTATTGTATTGTAATAAACAGAAATTCATCAAAAGTGACAGCTCTCAATTTTTTGACATTTGTAAATTCTAAATTGAATGAGAAAAATGAAATAATACTAAGCATAATACAATATTCTAGATTTAATTATAATTAGGGAAAAGTTAGTTTTGAGAGTACTTTTCATAGGCATATAGAATGAAATCTTCTGAAAAATAATATCACATAAACTCATATTATTTTCTAATATATAACTATTTTATATAAAAATCAAATTCAATGATCTTAAAAGCGAAGGATAAACCTCAAAATTTACGAATATAATGAGTGGGAATATAATGCTTATCTATCATAAAACCATATGAAATATCAATTTTTGCTTTACGCCTAATTTTTGACGACAATTAGCAAAAAATGTTAAATGTTAACACTCAGTCCATTTGAATATGAAAAATAAAATTGACTTTGATTAAATGTTTTTATTTATCATGCAATTCTTCTTGCGACCAAAGATTTGAATCAAATTTCAAAAAATAAGATAGCTTAAAAAATAATATACGGTAGTGTTTACTAATAGATGAATAGTATATAAATTCTATTAAAATGGATTTGATCCAAAAAAATATATAAAATTTGATCATAAATAAAATCGTTTTAAATTACTTCTTCATTTAAATTATAACAATTATTTTTGGTTTTATATTTTTTTTGGATCAAATCCATTTTAATAGAATTTATATACTATTCATCTATTAGTAAACACTACCGTATATTATTTTTAAGCTATCTTATTTTTTGAAATTTGATTCAAATCTTTGGTCGCAAGAAGAATTGCATGATAAATAAAAACATTTAATCAAAGTCAATTTTATTTTTCATATTCAAATGGACTGAGTGTTAACATTTAACATTTTTTGCTAATTGTCGTCAAAAATTAGGCGTAAAGCAAAAATTGATATTTCATATGGTTTTATGATAGATAAGCATTATATTCCCACTCATTATATTCGTAAATTTTGAGGTTTATCCTTCGCTTTTAAGATCATTGAATTTGATTTTTATATAAAATAGTTATATATTAGAAAATAATATGAGTTTATGTGATATTATTTTTCAGAAGATTTTGTGTTCTTCTTCAAAATTTTACTTTTTTATTAAAAAGAATCTTTACTAAATATACATTTACTTTAATTAATATTTAAAAACGTGCTCTATCAAAAGTTCCAAAAATTCAATATTTTAGCTTTTCTGATGTGTCACTTTTGATGAATTTCTGTTTACAACAGTATAACAAGACATATAAAATAATTAAAAAATTTACCAACGGCGTAATTTCATTCAAAAACAATATTGAAAAGAAAAGTGGTTTTTATTGTTTTTTTTAAATATATATATATTTCAACAATGATGTAAAATATGAATCTTTTAAAAAAAGCAACAAAGTTTTCATGGCCAAATCATTGAAAAGTTTGAATTATTAAGGGGAGTTATACTTGAAAAATTTGAATTATCATTGAATTATTAAATAGGAATGATATTTTGTAAACTATTGAAATTTTATTCAAATAAAATAGTTAAGTGATATACACATCAAATAATTAAATAATTTTATCTGCAACCGCCAAAAATTTTATTTAAGTATACCGTTTGATAATTTAAATTGATCATTTCATTTTCTTTAAATGCTATTCAGTGCTTTAGTAGCTAATGTGGCGTCAGCTGCAGATTTAGCTGGATTTGATTATGCTACTAAGTTTGCTTCTGAATGTGATTATTGGTTATATCCAATGTGGACAGTGGATTATTCATTTTATAACGTCGAAGCTGGAAAAACCCTATGTATAGTGGGGTCTGTTATCCTTGGTGCAAACACATCTTTTAAAGCAACTGCTTATTTCCCCAAAATATCAAGTACTGCCAATGAATACGAAGAGTCTAAAGAGATCGAAAATCCTGTTGCTGTTGTTGGAAAATACGAATTTGATAACACTAAAGGACAATTAAGTTTAATTCCAGTTACAAAAATAAAACCATGTAGCCCTCTTAGACTTCAATACGTTGCAGCGATGCCATCATTGAAATTGTCATACAAGGCCAACGGAAATTCATATACTGCAGAGTCAAATACTTTTGTTTCCACAGCCAGAAAAGATAATGTCAAACTGTCCTTCCACATTAAATCTTCTTCTAAAAGAGCTGATGCCTTATATTCAATTTCTAATAAGAATTTAACGTATAAATTTAATAGAGACAAAGAAGTTACAATACAAACTAACCGTGATATACTTGGTCTTTCTAAGCCATTCACAGATTATGAAGGAACAGTTGGAACCTATAAAGGTATAACTATTCAGCCCATTCTTTCCGCATTTGATACAGCAACAGATATTACCACTGGCAAAATAACTTTTTCATTTTCTGGAGATGTAAAACTTTCTTGGGAAGAAGCAGCGGCATCTTCTGCTGATCAAAATGAAGAGTTCTATTTCCCAGAGTTCACAACTTCACTAACAACAAAGAGTGGTATTTTCACCAAGGATGATGTCGATGTGAAGTATCCATCTGGATTACCATGGTGGGCTATTCTTTTGATTGTTATTGCTGTAATCATTGTCATTGCCATAATAGTCGTTGTTATCATTCTTGTCATTAAGAAGAAGAAAGACAAAAGTAGCAGCAGTAGCAGCAGTAGTAGCAAGAAGAAGAATGCCGAGGCAGATGGAGCTGCTTAAAATTAGATTGAATAAATTAAATATTTTAACAAACTAATTAATTTTATATGTTTATAGGATGAAACTATTAAATAATTTCGATCATACAGATAAAATATTGACAAATAGTGTTGAGTTTGTATCCAATATTTGTAAAAAGACATAAATTGAATATGAATTTCGATAAATAGCTACATTCAAGGCAAAGTGTGTGATAGTTGTTGAAAATAACTCTAAAAATAAATATTATTACTGATGATGAAGCAATTATGAATATTTATCATATTTTGAATACAATTTGTCAATAAATGATTTTATTCAAATGAATATCTTTAACTCAATTGAATAAAAAGGATATTCATTTTCAGCAATCACGTGATTTTCCTTGGAAACAAGATATATTTAAATCATAATAATAAAATTCAGTTTAAACTGTTTAAAATTTCTCATTTTAAACATTTGTAAGTAAGGTACTCATTTTACCATGGAGATAGCTAATGATCTATTATATAATTTGAAAATGAATTAAAATGTAAGTTATAGGAAAAATGATAAAATCAACATTTCGTGAAGTCTAGTTTGTGCCGATTTTGTTGGTCGAATTCTCTTTGAGAGATTAGAAATCAGTTGGTATCCCAATCAATTGATTCAAAGTATGTTGTTCATTGAGACACAACATATGCACTTGATTTATTTTTTGTTATTGCACTAGTTCTATTAAAAATTTCTATTTGGGAAAAAAATCTTGGAATTTCTTTGAAAAAAAAATAAACTGCGAAGAAATCTTTGCTTAACATCTGATTGTTCCTACTGTTCTGCTTATTTTATATCGATCTTTGGAAAATGAACTGTAATAGAGTCATCAGTAGTATATGTTGACGGGTTTAGTGACTTTTTTTGTTACATCTATATATAGACGATGCATTAAAATATATTTATTTATAAATCATTAAAAAAATTAACATTAATTTTAAAATAATTTATTTTTTATCTTTTAGCCGTTTTCGCTACTGGTGCCAAAAAGTTTGCAACGGGTTTAAATATCATCCATGTAAAATTTTAGAACTTGGTAACGAAAAACTTCAGAAAAAATTAAACGAAAGACTATCAAAAGATAAAGTTGAAAGAGTAAATAAACTCGCTAAAGGTAATGGTAATGATGAAGAAGAATTTGATGAGTTCAACATTGAACTTTAAGAAACTAATGATTATTTGAATTTATAATATCAATTATCTGATTTATTCTTTCTTCAATCTCTTCTATTCTTTTTGTTAAATCATCAATTTTCATTAATGAGGTGATTCTTGATTGAGGAATAGATTTCAAACTAATCACCCCTTTTATTTTTGAAATTTTGAATCCATCAACTTTAAACATTTTATTCAATTTACACGTTGTCAATTCTTCAAATAATTTTTTATTGTTAGCATAATAGTCATTAAATTCTTCAACAGATGAAAAAATTTTTATTTCAGTAATTGGTTTAACAACGTTTATTTTTTGTTGAACATTTTCACTTTCATTTATTTCTTCCTCCTCTGTTTCATTTATTTTAAAATCGGTTTCATTTATCATTAAATAAAAATTAGAATATAAGTGATGAAATATATTTTTTAATTAATATTAAATCAGAAATGGCGGCAGGATTCTTTAAAAAATTATGGGATGGAATTAAGAAAGCTGCGGGTTGGGTTATAAAAAGATTATTAAACCCGTTGCAAACTTTTTGGCACCAGTAGCGAAAACGGCAGGAACTATCATAGGTGGAGTATTAGGTACTAAAGCAGGTAATCCGGCGATGGGAGCACAAGCAGGTAACGCATTGGTGGAATTGCTGAAGGAATACTTAATAAAATAGGAGGTAGATAGTGGAAAAATAAATAAATATTATTTTTATCTTAGTATCGGTTGTAGTCTTTGATAAACTTTTTCTCCTTTATTTAAAACTTCTCTTATTGGGGCAGCTTTTGGTGTTATTGATTCAGCAACGTCACTAATTGCTTCTTTATTCTTAAATATCCAATTTGCTCCTTTCTTTATTGTTTCCCAAACTTTACTCGCTCCTCTTTTTACTTTATCCCACAGTTTCTTAAATATACCTGCAGCCATAGTTGATTATTTCATTAAAATTAAAAATTCATTTTCATCTTTTAATTTGATTTTTTATTTATTAATAAATGACGACTAACTATTTGGTGCCAAACACTAAATATTAAATGGAAATGTTTTCATTCATTCGAAAAGAATGAAATATTCGCAAAGAATGATGTAGAAGATATTATAGAGAACTTGAAAGTTCATGCTATGACTCTGATGCTCCATATTTTGATGATAAACAAAACTCATTTAAGAATTACAAATCCGGCTCATGATGTGAACCAATTAGGTGACACATATATTAAACGCAAAGTTAAAGCAACTCTTGTTTCAAATAAAGCTTTCACATGTGATGCCGCTTTTAAATGCATGCGTTTATTCGTTGGTTACAAATCATCAAATCAAAGCTTTAAACAATTAGAAGTAGAAACCGAAAGAGGTGATGCCGGTTATCTTCAGATGGATTGCGCCCGTGAATCTTTCGCATTTGCAACATATAAACCAAAATCAGAAAGGAAAGTTAAAAAGTTTGTTCATTCGTTATATAATAATGTTCAAAAATATGATAACTCAGTATGTGGTAAATATATTGACCCTTCAGAAGTTTTCAAGAAAGCAAATGAAGAAGTTGATGTCACTTTTGATATGATTATTCCGGTAAATGATTTGTTAGCATTTCAGGCGTTCGATGATTATCCTAAATCATTTGGTGATATCATTCTTAAATATTATGTTTTCAGGGATACTTTAGTATTTTGTCAGGTTGACCCGTTAAGAGTTGCTGATTTACAAAATTACGTTTATGAAAAGATAACTGATGAAAATTATGAAAAGATTATGAATCATGTTTATAAATATGATCGCAAATTCCAACAAATCGGACTTCCTGCCAAATTAATTACAAGCTTAGCCGCTACATCTGCTGACGCAACAGTTGATGACGTTATTATTTCATGCACAAAGATGGAAGTTTTAGAGGATAAATGCATTACACCAGGATACGGTTTAATTGAAGAATCAGTTAAAGCAATACCACGTTTATTCAGTAAGGAAGATCCATTCATGATTCCAGCTCAACATATTGACGTTCGTTCACTAAATGGAGGTTGCATCACTCCTGAAGGTATTAGCTCAGATTTCTCATACGCTCTTCATAATGTTACAGATGTTGTGTTAGCATTTCCGAAGAATGCAATGCAAAGAACAGTTTTAGAAAATCCAATGCTTCGAGGTCTTCAGGTCACTATAGATTCCAGAAATTCCCCGATCAAGCGATGACCACAGTGGGACATATTCTTTACACGTATGCTTCAAGCTTCTGATTTAGATGGAGTGAATGAATGCACAGAAGAATACGAGGACTCATTAACTAGACCACTGAATGCAGATGATGGCACGCCATTAGCTAGAACATGGAAAGACCAAACTTCATTCTTATGCACTATTCCAGTTCAACGTGATGGAGCGGGTATATTCTTTGATGGATTAGAAACTTTCAACTCACAAGTTACAGTACAAGTGAAAGCTTATCCAATCATTCAGGGTGAAAATGACACTTACTGTTCAAAGGTGACAAATCCTCCTCAGGTTTGGTTTACTAGGACTACATATTGGACATGGACACCGGATGAAGGTTTGAAATATCATCCAACAGGTACACCAACAGTATAGAAGTTCATATGATGAAATATTGATGAATAGAAATGTTTAAAATTATAAATTTATTTTTGATTAAATGGATTTAAATTCATCCACCCCTTATGAAGAATTAGCAGGAGTATATAATACATACATAGATGATATGATTAATGAAGCATTGAGTGATAATAGAAATGCTCTATCTAAGGAAAAATTAATGAAAATTCCATATTCTGAATGTTACTTAAATTCAATCACTGCAGCAATTGGTAAACAGAATAAAGGTAAAACATTAACGATATTAAAACAAATTATCATTATTGCTAACACTTCCCCCTATTCACACGTGTTAATTATATCAACCGTTCAGGTTCACCTTCAGATGATACATTTGAATCTTTAAAGCATTTAATCAAAATTCCAATTATTTATTTATCACAAGAAGAAGCAGAAGATTATTTAAAAAACTTTTTAATGTATAAAGAATTATATAATACAATCAAGAAGCAAGGATTAGAGGATAAAATTATTGATAAACAACGGGATGAATTATTTGAAACACTTTCTATTTCAAATTTTGATAGAGAATTTTTGCATTCACTCATTTTTCTAGATGATGCAGTGAAATCAAAACTAATAACAAATGAGAAATCATATTTTAATCAGTTATTAACTCAATGTCGACACATTCAGTGTTCATTCTTCATGGCTGTTCAATACTTCAAAGCATTAAGCACAAACATTAAATCAAATCTATCAACACTTTTCATTTTCAGTGGGTTTAGTCGTCAACAGTTGAACGTTATGCTTTATCAAGTGAATTTACCAATGAGCATTAATGAACTTTACACACAATATCAGCAATTAGGTGAACATGGAAAAATAATAGTTGATTTAAATAAAGGAAGTGTTAAATTTGATTAACTTTTTATAATTAATTTTTATTTTTTATTTATAATTAAACATGACAGAAATAGCAAATCTTCTACAGGTTCCATTAAAACAAGGAACAAACAAAAAGGGTGCATATAATAGAACTATGAAAGTTCCTGATGGAATGAAAGAATTAGTTCATATTGTTGCTGGTCTTCAAAAAGATGTTAAACAAATGAGAAACGTTTTAACATTACCAGAAGCTCAAGCATATGCCAAACGTCAATGGTCCAAATTGGGAAGCACACGAAGCAGACATTACGGGTCCAAATGGAAAACCTGATGGTATAAATGAAGTTTTCGTTACTGATGGTCAAGGTAATATTAAAGTCATAAATGGTTATAAATCAACTATAACTGATTATCCTAAACGTAAAGCATATAATGAACGTTATCCTATGCAATTTGATGAAAATGGAAAAGCTGTTAAACAATACATTGGAGAAGGTGAAAATGGTCCAATTAATTCATACCGTTATAATCCATATTCGTATTTCAATGAAGAATTAAATGCTATTGAAGAGGGACCGGATGGATTACCACGATATTCTAACCAGTTTGATGGTCAATATGCAAATATTAGACCTGAAATTTCAGCTAAGAAATTCTTTAAAGTTGCTTTATTCGATCCAGTTTTCGCAAATGTTAAAGATGAACTTAAACAGCAATTCCAACCAATTATAGTAGCAAGAATTGCATCAGGTGCTTTATCTCAAGCATTCAAAGATTTAATTAAGAAACCATTATATCAGCAACGAGGTTTAACTTATGATTTAGTTAAGGAATCAAATAAAAGAAAATTTGAGAAATCAGATGATTATAAGAATGCAATTAATGAATATATTAGGTCTATTAATTACAATGAACAGCTAAAAATAAACTTCAAGAACAAATACAGGGAATAATAGATTCAAAACTTCCAGCAAAATAAAAGTTTAAATATATTTTTTTATTCGATTATAAATGAGAAGACGTTTCACTAGTCAAAAGAACACTAACGCAAAAGCAGAGATTACGGTTGGTTATAACGTAAATGATGATAAATCACGAATTATTCAAAATGTTAAAGTTAATGTTAGCCCTGAATTAACAAAGTCAGCAACTCAACCAAATTTATTAACTCGTGACTTACCGAAGAATGAGGAGGAGCAAAATAAAGAAGATGGAGACCCAATCATTTTATCTGAACCCGGTAAAGAACCTGTTGAAATTCCCACTTATCCAACATACCCCCCGCCTCTTTCATCAAACATCGAGAACCCATATAAAATAGACATTAATTCTGAATTAATGAAAATTTACCGTGATATAATAATTAATAATTATGATTCAATAATAAATTTAATTGACCAATCCGGTTTAATTATTTTACCTTATGAATCATTAATTCACATTATCGCCATTCTTTGTGATGTTCAAGATTCAGACGTTAAGATTCAATTTTTCATAGATGATGAGGTTTCATGCTGCGGAACAGTTGCAAAAATAAATCCTATAAAGGATATTAGCACAATTAAGATATCAAAGAACGGAACAACAACTGAACTTCATTTAAACATATAATGATATTATAATAAAATAGTTGATGAATATAAAATATCACTTGAAAAATTCTTTGTTAAGGCTATTTAATATTCAAGCATTAACATTATCGAATAATAATCCTTTGAATCATAATCAATAATAATTGACCTTTCACCAGTTTCTATCGTTTGTTTTATTTCTTTTTGTTCCCCACTATCCGGATCGGTCATTGTAATTGTTTTTGTTATAGTATCAGCTTTATCTTTAACTTCAATCTTTTTTCCATCGGGATATCTAAACCAAAATTCCAAAAATTCGATATTGTCAATCTGTTCATATTTTAATCTATCAATTACATTTTTAATACCATCTGAAAATCTTATGAAATGGTCATTATATGGGTTTGATTGAACTAAATTTGAATGAAGTGAAATATAACCTGTTGATGAATATGACATTGACTCATATTTTCTGAAAACACTAAAATTTATAACATGAATGAATTTCTTATTCGTTGAATTTATGAATTCTTGAGGTAATCTTATTCTAGTTTTATTTATCACTGGAAAATAACGCTTTACCATATTTTTATTCGTAATAAAAATGTCAATTATCAATATTATTTCGAATAATAGTTGTGAATTAAATTTAACAGTTAGCGGAATTTATAATGTTACTCTCGTTTCTGTGAGTGGTAAATTTAATCCCATTCTTTTAGACCCTTCAGATTATATATCATTTATTAAAGATGACCTTGAAAAAACGTATGATATGTATATAAATAATGTGATAGCGAAATGGGATATTAACATGATTTTAAGTTATTTAAATGAATCATTTATCGTATGGTATGAAGAAAATTTTAAATCAAAACCTGATAAACTTTTTGAACTTGATGAAATAAATAACCTTATTAAATTCCCGCTGAAAATTAAATTTTGTACTCCTCATCTTCGTTCATTGTTGGGAATATTAAATTTTGAAAAAGATGTTGGGGATGTTTTGTATTCTGACACTGGTTCCAATTTCGTTTTAATCAAATGTGATAAAGTTAATACCCCAATGAGATTTTCACATCAAACATTAGACCCTAACTCTTACCCATCAATACAAAACATTTTATCCATCAACTTAAACACATTTTCTTTATCATATCCGTTTCAATTATCCGGGAATTCATTTATTCTTCATTCAAAAGATTTATCAAATATTAAATTTAGAATAACTGACCTATTTGATTGTGATTTAGAATTCATGAATGAAATATTATGGCAATTTCAAATAGAAAAAATAGCTGATGAGATAACAGATTAAATATTTATTTTTAAATCATAATAAATGATTAAACAACAGCAACCACAGCAACTTAAGGCACAAAACACCCAGGTCCTTCAGACCATTACATACGCCATATATGCATATAATTCAAAGACGGCAGAACAAACGCAAAGGTTGAAATATGGAGATTTGGAGATAGTATTGAAAAATGAACATTTCGAATTCGTTTGCAAAGGTGGTGCAGTGATATCAAATATAAAAGAAATTTTATTTATGAATTCTAAAATTAAAGGTATAACGGATGATATAACATCAATTCCACCAGAAGAACAGAGATATTACGCATTAAATGCATTTCCTAAAGTTTTGAAGATTGGAAGATTTAATTTAAATGAGGAATTCATAGAAGGTTTCCTAAATGACATAATGAAGAAGGTGGATAAGGAATATGTGGATAATGGATTAAATAAGAAGGCAAATTTGGTTTATGTTGATGAAAAAGATAATGAAATTAAAGAAAAGGTTGAATGGTATCATGAATGGACATTGGAGACTTTTAAAGTTAAAGCTGATACAGAATGGGTTTCAGGATGTTTAGACCTTAAAGCAGATAAAACTTATGTTAACGATGAGTTAATGAAGAAGGTGGATAAGGAATATGTGGATAATGGATTAAATACAATTCTTGAGATGATTTACCCCATTGGTTCAATATATACATCAATGAATTCAACAAATCCAGCTGATGTATTCGGTTTCGGTACATGGCAACAAATAACCGATCGTTTCCTCTACTGTGCTAATAGTTCAAAACAAACCGGTGGTTCAAAGAAAATTAAAGAAGCAAACCTTCCACCGCATAAGCATACAGGAACTACAAACTTTTCTGGCGAGCATATACACTCATTAAGAGACCACCCATTATACAACTCAGACTATGAAGCCGGTCATGATGTTTTATCTCCAGTTTATAACGATTCAACAAAAAAGACTTTTCGACCAACTGAACCAGGAGGAAATCATTCACACACTTTCACAACAAATCCAACAGGCTCGGGTGAAGATTACATGCCACCATTTATGACTGTATTTGCATGGTACCGTCTTGAATAAAATCTTTATTTTTACATAAATGAGTTTAAAAGAAGTATTCGAATCATCACCGTGGAGGTCATTTAAAAAATTCTATGAAGCTGCAAAGAATGCGGGGTTTAATGATAGAACAGAAATTAAGAGATTTTATGATGAAAATATAGTTCATCAGGTTAAAGATGAATACACTGTCATTTATGAAGGAGGTGTGGATGATAAAATTCCTTCTAGAAATTTGAGAGAATCGAACCCTACACATTTATCGGAACTCGAAAAGGATTACTGGAAGAATAAAAATAAGCCAAAATTAATCAAAAAATTTTTATGAACTAAATATATTTTATGTCTGTAATTAATTAGATAATGAAGTAATGGATGAACTGTAGAAATATATTTTCTTTGAAAAAGGTTAGATCTAACCCGATATCTAACCTCATGAATTTTCATGAATTTCCTTAAGATAGAAAAAATAAAGTTAGTTTTATTTTTATTTATTTTTATTTTGTATGTAAGAACAGAAATGTCAGTCGAAGCACAGACGTTCACGAACAAATCTAATGGCGAAACATTCACAAAAGGCACTTATAATGGTATTGAAGTCTTACGTAGAGACAAGGATGGTTACATTAATGCAACAAAGATGTGTCAGCAGTTTAGGAAAGACTTTAGAAAGTTGTTGGAAAATAAGTCCTGGGAAGAGTATTATAAGGCATTTTGTGAAGAATATAGCAACCGCCGGAATTCGGACTGTTGCTTTTCATACAAAATTCATGCAGGAATTCCTGATGAAATCAAACAGGTTAGAGGAACGTATGTAGACCCAAGACTTATAAACTATATAGCAATGTGGGCTTCTCCAAAATATTGCATAGCAGTTGGAAAAATTATGGACTCCATAGACAAGAAAGTTCATGAGAAGTTAGATGAAGAAGAACTTGAAGATACAGTAGAGAATGCTAAACATTTGTTTGAAGAAGAAGTTAGAAAAGTGCATGAAAAACAATTAGAACATGAACGTGAGATATGTTATGGTTATAGAGATTCTCCATACGAACTAGACCAATGGGAACAAGAAGATTTAAAGAGAGAATTTAGAGAATATGAACTCGCTAAGATAGCATTAGAAGCTGCAGAAAAGAAGTTAAAAGTTTGGGGTCGTTTTGTACAAAAATATTGTGAGTAAATGAACCATTTATTTTTGTCATAAACGACCAAAAATATATTTTTTCGTTAATGTTTTCGTAAATGTTTTCATTAATTATGAAGGTGTCACCACGTCACCATGTCACCAGGTTAATTAACTTCTTTAAAAAATGATGACAACATGACATTTTGACAACAGTCCTGGAAATTTGATGCAGTCCAAAAATAAAGTTAGTTTTAAAATTATTTTTATTTTTTTATTCCTATATAAATGACAGCAACAAACAACAACAACTATATCGTTTCTGATGAAAAAGTTATTGATTCATTAGCTGAGGAATTAGTTACGGCAGAAACTAAAACCCTCAACGAAAGAATTGGTGAAAACAAGATTGATTTACATAACTACCTCAAACACGATGGAGGAAGAGGAAGGAAAACTGGTATGGCTTTATTAGTAAATAAAATATCAAATTTAACGATTATAGATGTTGATATCAATAAATCGTACAATGATGAACTTAAAGAAACAGTTAGAAAAGATATTTTATCAAAACTTTCGGATAAAGATGTTATCGTTAAAACCGCTTCAGGAGGTCTTCACATTTATTGTAACACTAATTTCTTCTATTCAGTTTCGAACAGAATGATTAAATGCTATTCTTGCAATGATTATGATATTGACATAATGACTTCTATTGATGATTCAAAGCGTTCTTTAGTAGTTATGGCTGATTCAAGAGTTCGCAAGAATGCAACAGAACCAATCAATACATACTCATGCATTCGTGGAAGTTACGATTCAACATTAACTAGAACAGTAAACGATATATTAAATGATTTGAATATTAAGGTAAGAGTTGAACAAAAGAACGAAGAAATAAAGACTATCATGAATGAAAACAAAGATGTAAACATTGACGATAAACTTGCCCAGAGCATAGTCGATGGCATCAGTGATTTTGAAGTACATAATGACGGTGGAAACATGAATTTAGAAAAAGAAGTTACATTATTCACACTGTTTCAAGCAATTAATTCGTTACCTGATCATTTAATTAATGAAGCATACGACAACGTTTATAACTTCTGCAGCTTAACAGAAAATGCTAAAAGTAATTTTGAAAAAGCACGTAGTAGATATGCACATTTAATGACTTCTCCATTTGTTTTGGTGAAGATTCTAAAACTATATCAAAAGGAATATTATGATGAATACGTTTTACCTTTATTACGTAAGCCAAAAATAACATTTGATATAAAACTTGATGATTCATTCTTGATAACAGATATTAGACGCAAGGCTGAAAATCATCAGTATAAAAACAGTTCTGAAGTAATTGAGGATTTATCACATGTAATCCGTTTTGTAGATTGTGGAAACAAATACTTCATTCAAAAGGACTATAATATTCATGATAAAATGAATCAAATATCATTCGTTCTTCAATCAAACATGAAAGAGTCACTTAAAATGATTAAATTATTTAAAGAAGAAGGTAAAACAATAACAGCATGGGATGTACTACTAAATCAATTATCCTCATTAATTGTTAAGGGTGTTTGCTTCAAATCTGATTCTCCAGATGTTTTCTCAACGTTTCAGGGTTATAAATACAACGTTCTCGAAAAGCCTGATTACTCAAAAATTGAGATGTTTATGAATTTCATTAAAGAAGCCATATGTGATAATAACGATGAAGTGTATAAATACCTTCTCGGCTGGATTGCATCAATGATTCAACATCCTGGAATCAAGAATGAAACAGCAATTATTTTGAAAGGACTTCAGGGAACAGGTAAAAACAGATTTACAGACATTATTTCTGAACTTCTCGCTGGTTATTCATGTAAAAACATTACTGAAATAAGTGAGCTAACGGGTAATTTCAATTCAGTAGTTGAAAATAAAATGTTTCTTGTACTTAATGAACTCAAGAATGTAGGTGAAGATAGACTCGCAAACTTCAACGCTTTGAAATCAATTATAACGGATCATCAAATAAGAATTAATGAAAAGAATCAACCCAGAAGAACTGCTCAGAATGTTGTCAATTTCATTTTCGTAACTAATAACGTTTACCCTGTCAAAATTGAAGTTGGAGACAGAAGATACGTAGTTTTAAGAGTTAATGGTAAATTCAAGGGTCAATTTGATTATTTCAAGAATTTGATGAATTCATGCACTAAGGAATTTTATGATAATTTACTAACATATTTTATGCAATATGACCTTTCATCATTTAATGTACGAATCATACCGATGACTGAAGCCAAACAAGATTTAATCGAGTTATCAACAAATCCTTTAGATGAATGGATAAATACACATTATGATGAATTGTGTGCAGGTATGACGTGTAAAAATGCTCTATGCTGCAAACCATCAGACATGAAAGACAAAAACTTTCAAATGAGCATTAAGGATAAATGTGAAAGGAAACAAAGAAGAATAGATGGTAAACAGATATGGTGTTATGTTTTGAAAGAAGAAATGAAAGGATTATATAAACAGGTTGAACCACACGATAATGAGGATTCATTTACTGACGATGAAATACCTGTAAATGAAGCTTTATAAAGTATGATTGGAATTTATTTTTGCATTAATCCTGTTGTGTTGTCAAAATGTCATGTTGTCAGTAATTTTAAGAGAAGTTAATTAACCAGGTGACACATGGTGACGTGGTGACACCATCAGTTCTTCAAAAATAATTCATAAATGCCTTCCTCCTTTCGTACCTGTTGTCAAAATGTCATGTTGTCAGTAATTTTAAGAGAAGTTAATTAACCAGGTGACACATGGTGACGTGGTGACACTTTCGTCTCGAAGAGACGTTGTCGAAGAGGAATAAAAATTAAATTTGGATTGAGTTTAAAAATTCATCTTTATTAAATTCATCTCTTCCAATCAATTTATTTATTCTATTAAATTCTTTTATTTTTGCTTCACTCAGTTTAAGGATTGAACGGTAAGTTTCTAATTTTTCGATTATTTCTTTCCTCTCTTTATCGTTTTCAATTACTTTAGTTTTATGGGCATCAGCCCCACCGCATTGCGGCTTCTTTTTGTAATAGCATATTTTTGATTTAATTCTGTTTAGTTTCTTTTTATATTCATTGTCTGGACTCTGAATCTTAATTGAATCAGGACTCTTGGCTGCTTTGTTGTCACTTATTTCTTACGAAATAAAAAAATTAAATATTATTTAAATATAATGGAGTAATAAAATAAATCGGAATTTCTATTAATTTATTGTCAACTTCAACTAATGCATTGCCGTTAATATATCTAACAAATTCAGCTATTGTGTCAAATCTTCGTCTTCTTTTTGTCATTGATTTATTAGTTTTTCCATAATCGAGATGAATCAAAACTTTATCCCCTTGTTTAAAATTCATGAGCCCCGAATTAATTTGTTCACGTTTAACATCATTTAACCTTTCCATTTGCTTTCTAATATATTCCCATTCTTTTGAAATATCATTTTTCATTTCCACTGGTTTCATGTTTATAGTTCTATGCCATGTATTATTGTAATAATATACTAACTGCTGTATGATGGAGTCATGATTTCCATCCCAGTATATCTGACCGTTAACCCCTAACGCATCTCTAAGAGTTCTCATTACCGCATCAACTATTTTATTATGAAACGTATATGGAGAGGATGAAAAGAAAAAATTAATTTGTGGAAAATAATGAGCCATAGCTGCCTGAAATCCTTTATCACCATCACCCCTTATATTATCTACTCTTTCATGATCTAGTAAGTATTGTATAGCTCTTCTTGTTTCCTGTTCTGTTTTCCCTTTCACTGGAATGCAATATAAATATCTAGTGTTAATGTTAATGGCAAATAAATAAGTAACGTTTCCTTTTGAATATTCTAAATGATCGATTTTGTATGAATATGGATATGGTGCAAATGAAGGGCGACTAAATTTTTCCTTTAACGGTTGAATTTTCGGGTCAGTTGGTTTATTTAATATCTTGAAATCCTTTTTAAAATCTTTTTGCTTCTTTAATGTTTGAAATGGATATAATAAAGTGAATGATGAAGGATTAACTGAAGGAGGAGGTACTACCGTTGGAGGTTTTGGTATTGCAAGTGGTTTAATTTTATCCGCTTTGATTTTGGATGATGAAGTTTTAGTTGTTGATTTTCCTTTCATTAATTCTGGATGTATTCTATTCATTTGTTTTAAATATGCTGTATATAAAGGCTTGATATACTTTCCCGCTTCGAGTTTATGTTGAAGGATGAATTCCAAAAGTTGATCTTCATTTAAAAGTCGGGCTGAATATGGTTTAACTAATGAATCATAAATTAAAGCTTGTGCATCATTTATGGTCTGAAGGACCTGGGCGTTTTGCACCTTTAGCTGTTGAACATTTGCTACTTTCTCTTTTGGTGTTGTTTTCGGCTTTTTCTTCTTTGGCTTTTGCGGCTCAGGATTATATAATTTATATAATTCATCAATATCTTCTTCTGTTAATACTTTATTTTTGAAATCTTTCAACTGTTTAAGTTGTGATTTAGTTTTTTCCTTTGTATATTCATTATTTTTAATTTTGTCTTTAATTTTAGAAATTATTTTATCATGATATTTCAAAATTTCATTTTTATAATATGAATAATAATAATCCATATCATCACCCGTTATATTTTTATTATGTTTTTGGAGATATGATTTTAATTCATAATAATTAAGAAAATTTTGATTAAGTACTAAATCATCAATTAAATTTTCTAAATCTGCGTTATCCATTTATATAAAAATAAAATAAATGTTTTAAGGGTGCCCACCTCTTTGAATCATAGTATCAAAACCATTATTTACATATTGAATCGCATCATTAACGGTTCCTTTTGTCTCTTCTGTGGCATTTTATTAAAAATAAAATTTTAAATTCATGACTCAACCCCTACGTTTTTAAATTGTATTAAATAAATGGCATACAACATCCATTTTCACAACATACAGCCTTAGTGTGTGCTCCTGTTAATGCAGTCTTACCGATTGTTAAGCGAGTCATTGACCCGTTTTTAAGTTGTAAATTAATATTCTGACCATCGAAATAACTTTATCATTTATTATATCCAAATAATTTTTAGGTGTTAATTGTTTATTTTGTCGTAAACTAACACCTTTCATTTTTTGTGCAATCTTTTTAAAATCACTTCCATCAATTGAACCGTTGAATGATGTATAACACTTAGGGCATAAAGCAACCATGTTATCACCTTGTTTCTCAATTGCTAAACCCAATAATTTTTTCTCATGTGCTTTTTCTTCAGCTTTATTCTTTAATTTAGGTTTAAATTTCTCATCAAAACAGAAGAAATCAAAAGGTGCGAATTTGAAAATGTTTTTATCATAAAATTGTTTATCAGTAACAATTGCTTGAAATGCTTGAGTGTTAGGAAGACTTGGATCGCCAGCAATAGCCCAATAAGATGAATCAGTATCACCTTCAATGAAATGAAAACGATTAACATTCATGCATTTATACATAAAATCATAAATGAAAACCAAATACCAGTATTTAGCATTATCTAAAGTGAAGAATGCCTCTTGTAAACATGTATCACATCTATAAAATCTATCTTTAAGCATCACTTGATATGTATCCTCACCTATTTCTCTTATGTTTTTAAACTTATTTGACATACATGCAACGCGTGCCTTCTGTGCATTCATTATTTTAGTCTTTGCGTAATTTTGCGTATTCATTGCATCGTAACCATATGATCCATTAAGTGAAATCTTGCAAAATAAACTTTTTCCTTTATTTCCTTCTAATTCAGCCTTTTGTCTTTCGTTCATAAATTCGTTCGCAAATTCATTAAAACAAGTGTTTTTCGTAAATGTTAAAATTGATTGAATATCATCGATGATAAAATGAAATCTGTCTATTAGATACCAAAGATAATAAGAAGAAAATGGTTGATATTGGTTGTGTGTTGATGCTAACTGAGTTAATTTCCTCTGTTTCTGGTCAACTGGTAGATTGTTTGATTTCATGTAATTATACATAAAACTGCCAATTGTTTTTTCATCTGTGATAATATCTAAGTTTCTTATTATCGGTAAAAAGTTTATGTAATCATTAATGTATTTTTCATCAATGTGACCCTTTACTTCAGCCACGAATAAAGTATTTTTCTTCTTAATTATTCCCAGTGCTTTTGCTTTCTTTGTTGCTGTATCACAAATGATAACACCATTCAATCTTCCCGGCATATACATTTTATGGTCAGTATATTGAATGAAATCATGAGGATTAGATGAAAATGATGAAGGATATAATGAATTAAAGTCAACACCAACGAAATGAGTCATGATGTTGGAAGTGTCCTCATTTGATACAGTTTTAGTTTCTGGACTATATGAAAGTTTATTAATGTGCGTGATTCCTTTAAGATTTACTCTATGTTGAACATTTGATAAACCACCAGTAATTCCATTACGGAGAATGTGATAAGCTTCAACTGAATCTAAAGTCATTGGTAAATTATTTTTTAATGCATAATTTCTTAAATTGATTCTTAAACGTTGAACATCTTCATCTTTATTTGATTTTACGACATTGCAATAACAACACATTAACTGACAATTTTCTTTGGTATGTGGTTTTTCATTATCGATTCTATCTAATGTTGGTTTATTTGCATATGTAAACGCTTTACCACACATTTTGCATTTAGATGAAAGGATTAAATCGTGATAGTATTGAAAATCATCCATTGAAACATTATTTTTAGTATCCCTTTCTGCTTTTTCATCTTGTTTCTTATATGATTCAATTTTATATTTCCAATACTTTTTCGTTAATTCAAAACTTGATTCTATCTCTTCCTCAGGATATTTTTCATTAGGATTAAAGTCTTTATATGCTAAAGCGTAACGAATCATTGAAGCATTCGATGATAAAGAAAGATTATGAAGCATATCAATTTTATAAACAAATGTTTCTTCAATAATTTTATCAATTGGGTCAATCATAATTTCAACATCTTTATTGCAATAATGAATAAAATATTCTAATCTATTCTTAAAAATTTTAGCATCATTGAGATATATTTGATAATCACTATCTGATATAGTTTCTTGAGTTAATGCTGAATAAAATGAATCTTTCGTGAATGGTTCCTCTTTATATAATTCTTCTTCGGAATTCTCCCATGTGATAAATTGATAAGGGAAAAAGGATTTAACACGTGATTTATTGTTTCCGAAATCTTGAGTGAATTGGTCTAATGTCCCACCCGCTATATAATTTCTGATGTCAATAAATCTCAATTCATATGGAACGTTTGTTTTCTTTACAATGATTTGCTTAAATTGAGAAGAAGAACCCAGCATTGATTTTATTTTCCATTTTGCAGTGTTTAAATCACGAAGAATTAAATTTAAATCAAACTTTCCCGAATTAAAACCTATGATATTCACTTTATTGAATTCCTCATCTAGAAGTTCTTTAAATGCTTCCTTCTGTTTTTCATTTAATGTATGGAACAAAGTCCCCGCCGTTTGCGACTTCAATAATTCATTGTATTGACTCATATTTGATTTAGCAACTAATGAACAGGTTGAAAATAAAAACTCAATCCAATCAGAAATAAAAGAATCACTCGAAGTTAAGCAAAAATTCCTCGTATATGTTTTATCATTTAATTTAACCGTTGATGATACCATGAATGGTTTTAAGTAAGCGTTCAAAGTTGCACACTCGGAAAGTTGTAATTCTTCTTTAGTCTCTAATGTTTCGAAGTCAAAAGTAATATAATATCTTGTCGGTTGATAATATTCCTGCAAATTATGAGCTAATAACCACTGATATATCTTCTGTTTCGTAATATGTGGTGCATATGGTTGCTGTGTCTTTTGCAACTGAACGTCTTGAATTAATCTTCCATTATTTTCTTTACATTTCTCACAATGCTTTAAAAATCTTCTTTGGTTTTTCCTTTCTGGATCATCACGGATAGAATAAACTTCTTCTTTACAATATGGACAAACTCTATAGCCGGTGAGTGCTTCAACGTCTGTTATTCTGTCAGCGTGAAGTTTTCCACATGGACTCTGTGTTAATAAAATATTTACTGTTTCAAATCCTGGATCTATCATTATTGATTCCACTAATGGAAAGTCTACCTTATTTATGTCCACGTCTTCTGGTTGAGGATCACAATAATAGAAATCAATATTAACATTTAACATTCTCGCTAATCTCTCACTTTCTGATGAGATGTCAAACCCTTCATATGCATCTATTGCTTCATTTAAATAGCTTCTACGAGTTTTAGGATTAACACCATCAGGAATGTTATAGAAGCGTTTAAATAACCTTCTACCTTCTGCTCTAATTTGATTATCATTCATTTTAGCGGTTCCGTTTTTGTTCATTTATGTAAGAATAAAAAATTAAAAAATAAATAAAAATAAAGTTTATTTTTTAAAGCCCATAAAATGAATTAAGAACACATAAATTTTTATCATCTGCGACGTGACGAATACATTTTAATTTACTCAAGAATGCGTACCCTGATACATTAAATCTAATTCCTGTCTTATTTAATTTCACAACTTTGAAAAGGAATGTATGAATAGCTATAAAATGATGAGAAGATGTTTTATGGGTTGCTTCCATTTTTTCTGAAATAAATGAATAAATATAATGTTTATAAGTTTTCATATCTTTTATGTTCTTAATAACGAATGGTATAGACCTTTCAACTTCGTCTTCCTTCGGTGCTGTTCTTTCATATGAAACATTATTGGTATCTTCAATAATGAAACCACAATCACACAAAATTTTATAGGTTCCAATGGTTTCTTTTGATATTTTATCTAATAAATCAAAAACTTTATCAACACCTGTGCATTTATTTAAATAATAATTTGTGTAAATATCATGATCTTCTTTCTTAATCGTATTAGTTGCATATGTCACGTTTTTAAGAGCTTTTTTGAATTTTTCGGAATCTAAAGGTGGTGAAAGTAAGATACAAGGGTATTCTTCATTATCAATAAATTGTAACTTATGTTTACGAATAAATTTAGTACCTTCTTCTGAAAGTGTTTCGTCTATTTCACCATCTAATAAATTTTGTGTTGATTCTGAGACATAATTTTTATATCTTTCTTCATGAGATTTCTGTACTTCTGATTCTGAAGCTGGGATATTCATTAAACCCTCTACTTCATTTTCATTATATTTTTCAACTTCTCTTAATTCCTTAATTTTTTCATCTATTTCATCTCTTATTTTTTTCAGTCTTTCAATTTCATTGTATTCATCATCTTTAATCCGTTCTCCATAATATTCAGGGAAAACATCAGGTTCTTTAGGTTTTTCTTCTTCAGATGTGGGATATAAGAAATTTATAACATCATCTTTATTCATTTTTCCATCATAATCTAAATCATTTAATAACTCGGCAAATTTTTGACAATTTCTTAAATAATATTTATTAACTTCATAACCTACCTCCTCTAATATATCCTTTATTTCCTCGTTTGTGAATCCTAATTTTTTAACGTTGTTAGTTTTGACGCTCATTTCATACAAAATAAAAAAATAAACATAACTAAGTTTTAATTTTTTCGTAAGAAGTTTATTTTTTTAAAATTTTTTTATTTTTTATTTCATTTTGGTAGTGAATCTTTTATTCATGAAAATAATTATTTCTAATTTCTTTTACTCTCTCGTATATACTAGATTTAAAGAATTCAGAATATTTCCCATAATCTCCTAAATGTTTTCTTATCCCTAACGTGTGCCAGTTATTATATGAAACTGAATAAACTTTATGAGTGTGGGACAAACTATCCAGTGTCACTTTTTTATTAACCTTATTTTAAAAAATTAATAAAATAATAATAAAAAATTATTTGAATCTTTTACATTAATTGTTTCTTTTTTAAAAGTACCTTTAAAGTACAATAAACAAGATTTGAATCTATTGATCCTTGTTGCAAACTTGAATATATTGCTTCAAGCATTTTCAAACATTCGACTTTTTTATTTTCCAATATTTGTTCATGGTCATTAGCTTTTCGTAATATACGAACAACTTTATCACTATTGATTAATTGAACTTTAAATTTAATCAATAATGCTGGAACAACCGTTGTGTATAATTCAACAACAAAATCGTCTAATCGAATATTCCTTCTCTCTGGGAAATAAGAATGCTTGAGAACTTTGAAATGTGACTCACTGACGTTATTAGTCGCGTCACCTCCGTTGCGATAGCGCTTATTCCAACGATCTAAATGATGCCTCCATTGCCTATCGAAGTACTTTTGGGCTTTCGGTTCAGTGGAAAGAATTTCAAGAATTCGATCATAAACTGCATCTAGGTCTGCAGCTTCTTCTTGAGTGAGGTGCTCTGGAACTTCTTCACTTGTTTCAAACGTTTCTTCTTCTGGAATAAATTCAGAATCGTTTGGATCATCAGAAGATTCTCGTGGTAAAAAGATTTGAGAAGGTTGAAATTCATTTTCGATGAATTCTTCTTCATATTGTTCCTCTTCTTCAATTTCTTCTGCTTGAAGTAAGTGAGATTGAGCTGGTTCCTCTCTAGGATTTTCTTCTTCTTGGTTCTGTTCTTCCTCGGGAGATTCTTCTTTAGTATCGAATACTAATAATTTCATTAGATTATAAAATTCTTCAAAATTGTCTCGTGATTTAAACTTATCCGCTTTTCTTAATATGGCGCGAAGGACATGCACGCCACACCAAAGAATATGACAGTTTGGAATACCTCGCTCAATTGCCTCGGCTATTTGTGGGGCGCAGTCCATACTTATCATCTCGGGTTCTCTATTAATATATTGAAAATAACGACAAACACAATATTGAATATTTTCGCTTGTGTCAGGAGAAATAAAGAAATACAAAAAAGGAAAAACAATAGTATGTTCTGTTTTTCCTGTGAGTGCATATAATGGAATGTTAGCCCTTAGAAGTTTATACGTTGAATCGATGTGAAACGTAGAAATTTGGTGACCAAGGGCCTTCGCTTCGAAAGGTGCATATAAAAAAACTAGTTTTCCCGGCTCAGAGATAAATTCAATTAAATCTTCTGGACAACTTTCTTGAACAGATTCGACAAAGATAGCTAAAGAAACTTTTTCATCCGAACTAAAGCGTTTGGAAACAATTTCAGCTCTTTGAGCAAATTTACGTAATGCATCTGGACCTTGTGCAAATATTGAAAGTAACTCTTCGTCTGTATATGAAATATTTAAGTCTTGGAAACACTTAAGTTGAGCTGTAGCATGATTCATATTGTTTTCAAAGTAATGTTTAAGATAATTTCTGACAAATAATGAGGATATTGTTTTTGTTGATTTCGGAGGTGCAGAATGATCATGAGAGTCAGAGTGGATTAGTAGTTCATATTTATCTTGATCTATTATCCGGACTTTGAATTTAGCTTGACATTGTGGATACTTACATTTGTATTCGATCGTGGAGTATTCTTTCCTGCATTTTTGAGAGTAGCCCATGCTAGCTTTTATCTCTTCTTGGATACCAAACTGGAGGAGCTCCATAGTGTTGAATATCACGGGCTCCATACAACAAATTGAATAAGGTATTTCAAAATTTGAAGGAAATGGTCCATCATTGAATGTAGTGGCCGGGAATTGAATGACATACAGATAGTTTGAGGAAATTTGTTATAAATTATAATATAATTGAAGAATTAATTATCAAAACAAGTCTAAGAGCCATTTGTCAGATTTTCCCGAAATGCAAGGTTAAGATTTTAGCAGCGACTAACTTTGAGTGTACATATATAATTGTTATACTGAGTACTTTCTATCTGTGTTACTTATTTGAGTCTAAGAGCCATTAGTCAGATTTTCCCGAAATGCAAGGTTAAGATTTTAGCAGCGACTAACTTTGAGTGTACATATATAATTGTTATACTGAGTACTTTCTATCTGTGTTACTTATTTGAGTCTAAGAGCCATTAGTCAGATTTTCCCGAAATGCAAGGTTAAGATTTTAGCAGCGACTAACTTTGAGTGTACATATATAATTGTTATACTGAGTACTTTCTATCTGTGTTACTTATTTGAGTCTAAGAGCCATTAGTCAGATTTTCCCGAAATGCAAGGTTAAGATTTTAGCAGCGACTAACTTTGAGTGTACATATATAATTGTTATACTGAGTACTTTCTATCTGTGTTACTTATTTGAGTCTAAGAGTCATTTCTACCATAGAACTAGATATTGTCTCTCATTAAATATATATAACTGTAAACTGCTTAATTCATTTATCTATTTAGATAAAATTATATTTATATAAGAGTTCATGTTATTATTTCATCTTTATTATTTTTTTTATTCCTTTGAAAAGTGACACTGGATAGTTTGTCCCTTTCTCTAAACTTTATCTTTATCTTTACACCTTTCATCATTACCATTACCTTTAGCGAGTTTATTTACTCTTTCAACTTTATCTTTTGATAGTCTTTCGTTTAATTTTTTCTGAAGTTTTTCGTTACCAAGTTCTAAAATTTTACATGGATGATATTTAAACCCGTTGCAAACTTTTTGGCACCAGTAGCGAAAACGGCTAAAAGATAAAAAATAAATTATTTTAAAATTAATGTTAATTTTTTTAATGATTTATAAATAAATATATTTTAATGCATCGTCTATATATAGATGTAACAAAAAAGTCACTAAACCCGTCAACATATACTACTGTCATCAAATCATGAGAGTTTTTACTGTTTTATATTGGTTTTTCTCAAATTTTTGAAAGGAAAAATTCGGTAGTTGAATTTAAGCTTAATGTATTTAGAAATATAAAATCGAGTAATAAGATCGAGTCTACGCCGATATGATTATCGTTCTCCTTAAATTATTTTTATATAATTACAATCTAAATATAATTACATTTATAAACACAGATATTAAAATTTTGAATAGTCTACATGCAGCAGATTTGAGACCACGGGTATTGTCACCTTTTTATATTTGCTTAATAATGAGTAATTTTTTAAATAGATACGTATATTTTAATTTCTAACATCAGAAGAAAAGCTCTAGTGTACGTGCAGAATGTATTCAACCTCAGCAGCAAAATAGAACTCCCTTGGTCAATTCTTTACCCAAATTACGAATCAATCCTAAAAGCGGTCCACCTTCAGGATTCACTTCAGCCAAAAAATTTAACTCTCATGCAAGTTTCTGTTGAACAGACACAACAAGAAAAGCAAGATGAAACTCCATTGACTCTTTCGCCAGCACTGGCAACACAATTTGTCGAAGCATTACAATTTTGTAAGACAATAGTCGACTTTGATAACCCACAGACAATCAATATGAGAAGCAAAAAAGCAGATTATCTCACGAAAATCTTCAATACTGTTAATAACGTTCACGTATTTCGGAGCCTAGACGAATCATTACGAGTAGAATTATTCGATATGATAAAAGTAAACATATTACGCGAAATTCCACCTATTCCACTCACGATTATCGACGCAGATTCAAGGATACCAATTAACACTAATAGTTGGTTACATCTTTCAACTGTTCATAGAATACTATACTCATTCGTATCTAATTCGGAGATCAGTGCTCTGCAAAATTTATTAACTAAAGATTTTCTCACGCGTTACATAACATTACTCGAAAGTCCAGATCCAAAAGAGATACAAGCAGTCGAATCTTTCATATTACTCGTATTTGATACAGTCTCAGGCTATCGTCAGATAATTTTTCAAATAATTTTACGCCAGCTTCTCAAATACCGTGATAACTACATGCTATATCCTTGTGTAGCCCCATGCCTCCGATTTCTCCATCATTTCTTGAAAGCGCAGACGCTCCCTCTCAAACCTCCATTTTTCACACTTTACAAAACGATTATTTTCCCCTTAATTTCCTCTCAAATGTCTTCTGAGTTTTTCGGACCATTTAATCAACTCGCCGAGTTCTTTGAGAGCCAAGATGGAACCATTTCCACATGGACTCTTTACGAATTAGTGAAACATTGGCCAAAAACAGACACAAACAAAGAAACTGCTTTTCTTAGCCATTTTTCATATTTGGCGCCTCATCTTCCACCGAAAGACATCGAGAGCTGCGGCTTGATCATCTTCAACATCCTTAAGGAATCCTTGGATTCGTTGAACTTCAAAACAAACATTTCTGCTTTGAATGTAATAACGAACAAAAATTTTTTAATTGTTTTCTCATCGTTTTCGACAAAACTCGTTCCTATCATACTGAAAGGTGTTGATAGATGCAGCGCGCACTGGAACGTTGTTGTATCAAAAGCAGCTTTGGACGCAGCCAGAGTTTTGATGTCTGTAAACCATGATGTCGGCAGCAGACTCGAAATCGGAAGAATAGAGAGTGAGAGAAATAGAGCAATACAATCTAAAAGAAGGAATTGGGAGGTTTTGGTCGAAGAAGTCACAAAAAATGACAAAAATAATTTTGACAAAGAAGAGATATTACAGAGAATCGATGTGTTATTTAAGTAATAGAGCCTTTATTTTGTTTGCATGTATATTATTATATTATTGTATTTAACATTTTTATTGTTTTGTTTTATTCATCAAGTGTAAATACAAATTTTATTCATGAATTTTATTAACTGCCTCACTTTTTACATATTCCTTCACTAACACTAGTTAATCTAAAAAATTAAATTAAATTTCAATGAAATTAAAGCTAAATTACAGAAATTTTAATGATTATACACAGTCATTAGATTTACTAATGTTAGAAAGTGAAATTTTATCTAAAACTATGATATTCTCTAATGTAAGTTGTTGAATTTTCTCTGTTTATTATATATGCCGTGTAAATATTTGAAAAGTAATCAATTTTAATAATAAAACGGGAAAATTTTTAAAATAAAATAATTAATTATAAAGAAACTAATTAATAGTTAGCGACATGGTTGTAATCACCACGGAACCAGTCTTGAAGGTAGTTGACGACCTCTCTCTTGACGAGCATCGTGGCAAGTTCAATTGGAACTTTGCCTTTATTGTCTTCGAGGTCGTACATCGAACCTTGGAGAACCAACAGCTTTGCATTGGTTACCTTTCCGTTTTGAACTGCGTGGTGCAATGGTGACTTGCCTTCTGCATCCTGGTGGTTGACGTTTGCTCCACTGTGCATGAGATAGTCAAGGAAGACTTGGTTATTTCTCTCTGCTGCGTAAGAGAGAACAGTGCGTAAGGCAGTGTCTGTCTCATTGATGTTGAAGCCGAGCTGGAGCAGCTTGTTGAAGATCGGAATGCTTTCTGCAGAGGTAATGGCGAAGATGAGGCTGTGTCCCTTTGTGTCCTTGACGTGAATGTCAGCTCCGTGGTCGATCAAGAAGCAGAATGCTTCCAAAGAGTGGGATTTGATCGCGTAGTAAAGAGTTCCATGGCCTTCTTGATCCAAGCTGTTGATATCTGCACCACGATCTAAGAACGTGGTGATTAATCGATGTTTCCGTAGGAACAAGCGTAGTGGAGTGGCTGAACCTTGGAATCGTCGACCGTTAGGGCGTTGGCGCCATTATCGAGAAGGAAGTGGCATGATTCAACACTTTGGAACTTCGATGCGATGCATATTGGAGTTTGTAACTTCGAATTTTGTAATTTCGATATTTGCTCCGTGGTTCGTGAGCCATTGTAATGCTGCAACGTAATTGTGACTTGCAGCAATATGCAATGGTGTATTGCCTTCGTTATCATGAGCATTTATGGTTGCACCGTTATCTGATAAATAGTCCCATAGAGGTGGCAAGTAATAATGGAAGGAGTAAAGTAATGCTACGTCCATGTCTTGTTTTTCTTTAATGTACAAAACGAGGTTCCTGAGGTTGTATTCCAAGAATTTGGATTTATCAACGTTGGCACTGAGAACTGGATCCTGTACAAGGTCGTAATTGTGGGTTCTTAATGCATAGATCATGCATTGATCATCCATTTTTTGGGACTGTAGGCACAAGTCGATAATTTCTTTGCATCCTCCGATAATTGCTAGGTAGAGGCAGTTTTGGGTAACCTTCATGAGCATTTTCTCTAGCAAGTATTTGAAGACGGTCAAAGAGCCATGGTAGGCGGCAACTTCGAGGAGGTTAAGATTGTAAATTGGGTATAGAGCAGAGTCTAAGGTATCTTCAATACTGATAAAGCTCTGTCTCAGGTATTCGATTAAAGCTGGAAGGTCGTCGCGCATAATTAAGAAGAAGATGGAGCTGGGTTCATGAACGGTTAACAAATATGGCTGTCTGACAGGGAAACTAAGGTTGAATTCCTTATTCAGCAAGTATTTAAAGGCTGGATGAATGTTTTCAAGGCCTTTATCTGGCAGATACTCCTTATAAAGGATCTTGAAAACCTCCCAATAGGCGGCAAAATATTTGTTCTTAAGAGTACAATGTATGCTAATATCGGTTAATATTGAAGCAATGGGGACATTGTACTTAGAAACCAAGATGGATTTGATCTTTTCGACAATTTGTCTAATTGTTGTTTCTTCAGTGGAGGTAAGGTTGTACACTGAGTCATATGTGCTTAAGTAGTCTTCTATGCTTTCAAAAAAGGCTAATGATGAAGGGTCGCTAAATTTTGAATTCGTTTCAAAAAAATGATTTTAAAATCTTGTTGATTTGTATGAAAATTTACAGGCGCAATACTATATGCCTTATTATAACTATAATAATATGAATTAAATTGATTTCGTTTCTTAATGATTGAAAATCTACTTTGTATTGAAAATAATCGCGCGGCAAAATAAAATTTGTAAAACTTGTTCTAAATCGAGAAATGAATATTACTGCTACAATTTTAAAATTTGAATGTCATGAGATTGAATGAAACATAAATAATGAAATTGAAAAGAATTTGAGTCTTACAAATCGTTGCAATAAATTTCTTCAAAAAATAAGCAAATATTTAATGTTAGTTATGCATAATGACAAGGAATTATCAATGACAGATTAAGATTAATTGAAAAAATTCTGAGAATTAATTGTTCTGACAACAAATTGCTTAGTGATAAGATAGTTCTTAATAATTTCGATAGTAAGCATATATTTCCAAAATTGATCACTTTTGAATTAGACTCGAATCCATCAATAATAATGGGCGGGATAAATTGGAGAATTTGATCCAATAATGTGTCTTTATGAGATGTCGGAGTAGATTTGATGGTGAATATTTGGGAAAAATCTGAATATTTCATAAAAGATATAAACTAGCTCTTTTTTATTAAAAAGATGCTAGTATTTGCATATCTAAATCGGAGAAAAGTACAAAAGAGCGCTTTTCAATAATTTTAACAATATGAAAATTCAAGAGTCAGATAGATCATTAAATTTATCTTTTAAATTAAATGTCTTATTAACCACGAATTTATTATGGTGTAAATTTTCGAACGATTGTGATGTAAGATTATGAAATGTAAAAAACAAAAAAAATTGAATGGTCTCTAATGATATTCTGTTGCATGCTAAGTAGTGTCAATGTGTAAACCTCTCAATTTTATTGTCGGGGAAGCAACACAATTCCCTCAAAAATATTGAAAAAATATAGAAAATAAAATGAATTAAGATGTACTTAAAATGAGAAATAGATTATGATATTAGATTTTAGAAAAAACAGACTTTTGATATAACTTTTGAGAATCTCATATAAAAAAAAGCATTTAAAAATAAATTTAAATATCTTATTTATTTTACTATTGTAAATATATTCTGATATTTTTAGAAAAAAACACTTTTCATAAGTATTCAATATTTGAGAATACGCTCCAAAAAAGAATAGATTCTTTTATATTTGCTTATATAAAAGGAAACTCTCTATCAGATGCGAATGCCTGAATTCAGCACCTCTGATAGAGAGTTTCCTCTTATATAAGCAAATCTTTTTCATTCGTTTTTGTTAATATAAAAACATCAAAATCTACCAATATGAGAAATTAAACCCTGCGAGGCACCAGTCTAGAACTGGCGCTTCGCAGGGTTTAATTTCTCTTGACAAATGACAAAACTTGTTCGCAATTGTGAACCATTGCGAGCAAGTTTGCCAGATATCTGGAAGGAATTGCTCCTTATGATATATGCATTGTAACTGTATATATCATAAAGAGCAATTCCTTCAATTAAACGCAAAAACTTTGGTGCAATCGTTGCTGATTGCACCAAAGTTTTCGAACTTTCCCGAGGGAATTGGAGGGTGAGAGATACATAGTCTATCTATGTACCTCCCACCCTCCAAATCCCACTCTAAATGGGAGAAACTTTGTTCGCATGTTATCTTATTCAAACAAAGTTTCTCCCATTTAGAGAAGGAATAGGAGCCTACCAGGCACTGATATATAATCAGTGCTTTGTAGGCTCCTATTCCTAATAAAAATTTGAAAACTTTGGAGCATTTGATTATTGTATTTTGTCAAGAGAAATTCAACCCTGCGAAGTGCCAGTTCTAGACTGGTGCCTCGCAGGGTTTAATTTCTCATATTGGTAGATTTTGATGTTTTTATATTAACAAAAACGAATGAAAAAGATTTGCTTATATAAGAGGAAACTCTCTATCAGAGGTGCTGAATTCAGGCATTCGCATCTGATAGAGAGTCTCCTTTTATATAAGCGAATATAAAAGAATCTATTCTTTTTTGGAGCGTATTTTCAAATATTGAATACTTATGAAAAGTGTTTTTCCTAAAAATTTAATATAATGCTTAGCACAATATATAAAATTAAAATATCTATAATTATTTTCTATATCACACTTTTCATTACACCTTGAAAAGTCTTCTCAAACTCTATTTTTAATTATTTTTTAGATATATCTCAAGTGTGATTATTCAAAAACTCATATAGACTATATTTATTTTTTTCATTCAAAAAATTATATGAGAATCTCAAATTAACTTTCAAATTTTTTATTTTAAAAACATATTAATAATCATATTTTAAGATACTTTTTCGCCCAAAAAATAATCGTACTTCTTCGACGATTAATAGGCTCTCAATTTCTATCGTTGACACTACTTAGTATGCAACATTTTATTTAAACATATATTGATATCTTATAATTTATACAATTGATTTTTGACATTATTTCAATATTTTCAATTCTCATGGCAGTAACTGTCAGAATTGATGATTCAATCTACTTTTTACGTTCGTTCAATTCAATGTTCCCTAATAAGACTATCAACAATTTACGCATTACTTTCAAAAATATGGCTTTTTAAATTTTTGAATTAATCTCAAAATTCTAATTATATGAAATCACTCAAGGACCCACTCTCCCTCCCAAAACGAGGCTGGCTAAAGAAAAAAGGAAACAACCAAGGATTATGGCATAACAGGTATGTTTCTATTTCAGATCACTCAATTATCGTATCCAAAGATGAAGCAATTACAAACATTGATATTGTAATCCCCATGACACCAGATGTTACTTTCGAATTAGTTCGCGGAGCAACAAATCCGAGATTTCAAATCAAGCCATCTAAGGACGCTCAGCCTATTTTATTTTCTGCATGCTCATCTGAAGAAATATCCGAGTGGTTTAACGTTTTTCGATCAATTCAAACAACATGCACTAAACTGTCGATGGATGACTTCCAGATAATTTCTGTTCTTGGCAGAGGTTACTATGGAAAGGTCATGCTTTGCAGAAGATATGATAATGATCAGCTTTATGCAATCAAATCCATAAGAAAATCTGTGATAAACGATGTTGATGGTTGCTCTGTTCTTACTGAGAAGAATATCATGATGAAAATCCATCATCCATTCGTTGTTAACCTCTGTTTCGCCTTCCAATCTGATCGTAAGGTCTATTTAGGCTTGGAATACGCTTCTGGCGGAGAATTGTTTTATTACATGGAAAAAGTCGGAGTTGTTCCAATTGACGATGCCAGATTGTACATTGCTGAAATTGGCTTGGCTCTCTCTCATTTGCACAAGTACGGAATCATTTACAGAGATCTGAAACCTGAAAACGTTTTATTTGACGCAGATGGTCATATAAAGCTTACAGATTTCGGACTCTCAAAGGAGTTAAACGGTACTACAGGAGCAACCACCTTCTGTGGAACACCGGATTATTTAGCCCCAGAAGTTGTTCTTCAGCAGGAATACGGAACAAAGATCGATGAGTGGGCATTAGGTATTCTGACTTACGAAATGATTTTCGGTCGTACTCCTTTCTATAACGAGAACAAGTCGATTTTATTACAAGATATTGTTGAATCGGAACCGTTCTATCCTGAAGATGCGGATGAGAGAATTGTCGACTTCATGAAGAGATTACTCGAGAAGGATCCAAAGAAACGCGCTACATTTGAAGAAATTAAAAGTCATCCGTTCTTTGAAGGAGTTGATTGGGATGCAATTCTTGGCAGAGAGTACATGCCAAGCTATATTCCACAAATTAAAGACAGGTTCTCAACTCAGAATTTTGATCCCGAATTTACCAATGAAATCGCTGTAGATTCATTTGTAACCCCTGGTATGACCGATTTCGGCAACATTGCTGGATTCTCTTTTGTTCAAACTGGCTTAGCCTAATTTTATTGAATTTTTATCTTTTTATTTTTCCTTTTTTATCTGTTTAAACGTATTTATTACTTAATGAGATTTATTTTTTGCTCCGAAATGGTCCATTAACTGCGGCAGATTAATTATTTGATTTTTTTTTCCCTACCGTTAAAACGGGAGTTATCTACACAAGCCCCGTAACGTAGTTTGATACAAACGGCGTCGAAATTTAAATAACTACATAGCTCATTAAAGAATGACATTAATGTTGTTTCCTTTCTTTTTTTCCAATTACTCAATGCAACGTAAATAAACTTGCTAGCGATAGTGTCCCTGACGTTCTTTTGATTCAATAAAGCTGTGAACAAAATTTGTTCAACTAAATAGAATAGTCTTTCGGTAACCCTATTAAAAAATACCAAAAATTGATTTTTAATATATTTACTTGTAGATTCGCTTGGAATTTCACGTTTGTATCCAATATCATTAGTTTTACAACGATACTCGATGACTGAACAGAGGATAATGTAAATATGTATGATAAACTACAATTTCCTATGCAATGCTTAGATTTCGAGCTTTCAATTCATTTTAGGGAATATTCTTTAAACTTACTTCCTTTGTACCTATTATAAAACGTTGTTATTAGCTCCTCTGATATTATTACACTTTATTAAATTGTATAAATCTCTAATTTATTTAACAAATTTTTTGTTGTTTTTGTTGTTGATTGTAATTTTGAGAAAGATTGAATTAATGATAACATATATGACAAATTTATATTATAAATCATCCAATTTTGAGATATAGTTTATCTTATTAACACAAATTACAATTTAAATATAAAAATTAAAGGATAATATTATAGAAATAACAAAATTGAAAGATTCTACAGTATTTAAATTTCAAAATTCTATTTCAATAAATAAAAAAATAACAAAATATTGAAATTTTTGAAAAAATTTCCAATTTTTAATGCAAAAATAAAAAAAATCAGTTACAAATATTATTATTTTCCATTATATATGGTAAAATTTCAAAAATTTGGAAAATAGGTGATGAGTTCAAATGTTCCTTGTTCCCAGAGAGAACCTAATTCCACCATAAAAATCTAAATTCAGAATATATTTTATCAAATCATCTCTTACACTTATACTACATGTTCAAGAACAGCTTTTTTAAGTTTGCACACAGTAGATACTATAATCATGGAGTTTACATTATATTTTCTCTTTTTAAAAAAATTCATATTATATGAATACAATATTACCTTGATTCGGCGATTTCATTAATTACATCTTCATGAAACTTTGATGTTCTCTTAAGCAGCACAAAAGATTTTGATAGATTTGAAATTATATTTGAATCTCGAAATCGAATCGTAGGTATTTTATAATATTAAACATAATTACATTAGTGCTGATGGCAGATCAAAATGAGACAATTTTGGCCGGTTTTGTATATTGTGAAGATATATCCTATTGCTTATGTCGTTATGGGAATCAAAGCGACGCTACCACTCAAGATTAAAACTCTAGGATAACCATTTTCATTATCATCCAACCAATGATTTCGTATTTTGGATGTTGAAAAAAATTAGTTGACTCATATGAACTGCCACTGCTCGGCAATATACATCACATCCTACAAAAATAAGATTATGCTACCTCTAAAGCATGCAAACCAAAATATGCAAAATTATTTTAATTTAAACAATAAGCCATCTTAATTCATTCTTCATCATCCGTTCAGGAAAGTACTTATAAATCTAATGAGAGTGGATATTGATTTCTCATACTAGTTAAGTTTTGATTCGAATATCGAGAATGTTGAGTGTTCTCACTAGTATTAGCATAATGTGGATTTTGGTGATTTTGATTCTTACTATATAAATATATAGAATTGTATAAAAATTGGGTTCATATTTTAAAATCTCTAATTTTACACGGATAATTTATCTCACAATAATAGTTACCTATATCATTTTTGCTCATCAATGACTAAAATCATCATTTTTGCTATTGAGTTTTTTCTATTGATTTTATATGAAGAGACGGATTGACTTATGTCGTCAAATTTTTGAAATCCAGCCAGCATATAGAACAAAGAAATGCATTTACTCAATAAACTCTAATAGTATCCTATATAATGTCGTAGATACGAATGTCAAATTTTTAAAACATAAACATGCGGCAGAGGCAGTTACGTATCAAGACTTATTCTCTCTAGCAAACTTCAATCCATCATTTGATGGTAAAATAACTTCAAAATTATTATCATATATTCCACAAAATCAAACAGAGATCGAAATCATCATTATACATCTCCTATTTGCATCTGCTTCATTGTTTTACTTCTACGATAACTCCATGGAAATTCAAAACTGTGCAGATTTTTTTCAATTAATTTGCAAGTTCCCAAATTCTTTATATCAAGATCTCATCGCATCCGCAATATCAGAAGTATACTTAATATGTGTATCTCTTGACTTCGATACACATTTTGACTTAATTTTATCAACTCTTTCCGAATATATCAATACAATCAACTTAAATCCAACAAATTTGATATCTAAAATCATAGATTCCATAGAAGTTATCGCAAAAAAGACCGATTACGAAAAAAATTCTCATGGACCAACATTTTTGACTTTTTTAACAACAGTTATAGCAGATCACACGGAATTCTTTACGAACGAGATGTATGACAACTTGTTCAGGATCATACAACCTTATATCTTGCAGTTACACGAGAATTGTTTAAATATTTTTTATTTAATTCACAAAAATCTCGATTTGACACTGATTTCTGAGTTCGTCAACAACTTCTTTGAAAGGATATGCACGGAAATAGAGTCAGAATCCCCTTATTACGATGTTTTGTCGATTGATTCGTTGGAATTAGAACTAGAAAAATCTCCAATGTATCAGATGATTTTTCCTCAAAGAAAAACCTTCCAAAACGGTTTTATTCTGCCAGATATCGTTCAAAAATCGGGAGAATCGAAAAATATAATAAATCCAAAATATCAAGACAAAGTATCACTCGTTTTCAAGATAATCAGTAACATTGAATCAGCCTACATCGCATTACTGTTCAAATTCATAACAAAAGTCAAAATTGCAAAAGATACAAAATATTATTTTGATTATTGTGGGTTATTAGTACTTTATTTACTAATCGGACGAATACAAATTGAAAAATCAGACTTTCCAATACCAGAATTCATTGGAAATCCAAAAATTTCCACATCAAATACAAATAATTTGTATTCTATGAGATTTTTCTTTTTGTACTTGATTCTTATTAACTTTAACCAAGATTTAGATAAATTCCTATTGCAAATGGCCCATTTTCCTATCCTGTTCTCTGAATATTTACATATTTTGATGAATTTGATGGCAGATTTAATTCCTTATATCCAAAATCATACAAATATCATACAGACACTAGCTTCAATATCGATACAGCTTCAATTGGCCAATTTCAAGGCAAATGAAAATATTTCTGAAATTGAAAGCTGCAGATTAACACTTTTCAAGCTTTTTGAGGATCTTCTGGATAAAGATGACATAATGATACAGTTCTTTGCCAATCCTTTGTTCACTTCTCATATCATTTCATTATTATACGAAGAAAACGTTCGAGAATTTGCTCTTAGCAAGTTATGTAGATATATATCAATATCAGAAACTCTTCCTTGTTTGATTTCGATAATTAATCCTTTATTTGACCAAATTTCAAATTATTCTATTTCAGATGATCGACAACAATCAATTTTACTCATGATTATCAAGTCTATTAACAATAACGCGAGAAACATCCAACTTTTTGTTGATTTTACCGATCAATTAACAATTGTCTTAAAATCTTTGACAAAAACTGAATTTTCAGAAGAAATTGTTCTTGAAATCATCAAATTATTCGTTACCATGTCACAAGAAACATGTTTGAAGCATCATTGGGTCGAAGATTTAGAATTTTGTTATAATCAGTTAGATTTACACGACGAAAGGTCATTTATCGGTATGGAAAGTTTATTACTAGGCAAGAATGTTGATTCCATTGTTTTAAATGTTGAAATTAAGAATGATTTCGTATTTCCAATAATTTTCAGAATTTTTTATCGAAAGAAGGAAGATTTGATGCAATACTTCATCAGTTTATGCAACTATTCAAATATCAATGCCAGATTGATGCATTTTAGCAAATTAGATTTAGAAATAATAAAAATCTTCGAACAAGATTCATCAGATGACGAATTACTTGAATTATTTTATCATATATCATCTGTTTCATCATCTCCACAGATTGTTCAACAGTTTTTGGCTTTATTCAGTTTAATTCATAAAAGATTTGTCAGACCGAGGTCGAATTACGTTAATTTATTATCAAAATTACTTATTGATATACAAGGGAAGCCAGAGATGTCGTTATCATTGTCAGAACGTCATGAATTCAACTTTTCAAGTGAATTTAATCAATTTGCAATTTCATTTTGGTTGAATTTGACATCTACAAGCCAAGGAACAATTATCTCTTTATCTAGAAACGATTCCGATGAAGAGAAACTGTTGATGATCAAAGAAAAAGATTTTTTGTGTAAAGGATATCGAATAAACACAAAAATCTCTTTTTCAAAATGGATTTTTGTTGTTTTGAGCCTCAAAAATTCGACTTTGAGAATTTTTATAGATTCCGACCAAATTTCAAATATAAAAATTTCTCAAAATGTCAAAAATTTCAATAAATTAATTATTGGAAATTTGACAGACGATAACGATTATTCTTCTCAAATTTCGAATGTAGTAATTAGTGATTTATTGAGTGTACAAAAGATTCAGGAGTATTACAGGAAAGGACCGAGGAGTATGTTTCAGTTTGATAATCCAATTTTTGCTGTTTCTTATTCATTGATTTCTAAAATACAAAAGAATGTCGACAGAAAATTTGCAAACATTCTGTTGAGATTCTTCAGAGTCAACATTTTGCTGCCTTTGTTCGCTCAGTTGGATTTGGAAATGATTGACTTCAAATCTGTTCAATATCTTATGTCTAAATACACAAACAAAATAGAAGAAAAGAAATTGGAAAAATTAGAAAATGAAATTGATCAAGGAAAAGAAAAAATTTCTCTAGAAAATTTGGAAAATTTTGATCAAGGAAATAATGAAAAACCTCAAGAAAATGTTGATGAAAATGAAAAATTAGAAAAAATTTATAATGAAAATATCGAAAAATCTCAAGAAAATGTTGATGAAAATGAAAAATTAGAAAAAATTTATAATGAAAATATCGAAAAATCTCAAGAAAATGTTGATGAAAATGAAAAATTAGAAAAAATTTATAATGAAAATATCGAAAAATCTCGAGAAAATGTTGATGAAAATGAAAAATTAGAAAAAATTTATAATGAAAATATCGAAAAATCTCGAGAAAATGTTGATGAAAATGAAAAATTAGAAAAAATTTATAATGAAAATATCGAAAAATCTCGAGAAAATGTTGATGAAAATGAAAAATTAGAAAAAATTTATAATGAAAATATCGAAAAATCTCGAGAAAATGTTGATGAAAATGAAAAATTAGAAAAAATTTATAATGAAAATATCGAAAAATCTCGAGAAAATGTTGATGAAAATGAAAAATTAGAAAAAATTTATAATGAAAATATCGAAAAATCTCGAGAAGAAAAAAGTGAAATTCTTCAAGAAAAAACTGACAAAAAATTAGAAAAATTTGATGGAAAAGAAAAGAGAGAAAATGATGAAAATAATCAAGAAAAATCTTTTGAAGAAAAGAAAGAAATTTCTAATGAAAATCAAGATGAAATATCTCAACAAAATTCTCAAGAAGAAATAACAGAAAACTATGAAAAAACAAAAGATGTTGATCAAGAAAAATCATCTGAAGGAAAAGTTGAAAAATCAAAAGCAATTTTGTCTGAAAATAATCAAGAAAAATCCGAAAAAATTCTTCATGAAAAAACTGACAAAAATGAAGAAAAATCTTCTGAAGAAAACTCAAAAGAAAACAATGAAAATAATCAAGAGAAATCCGAAAAAATTCTTCATGAAAAAACTGACAAAAATGAAGAAAAATCTTCTGAAGAAAACTCAAAAGAAAACAATGAAAATGATCAAGAGAAATCCGAAAAAATTCTTCATGAAAAAACTGACAAAAATGAAGAAAAATCTTCTGAAGAAAACTCAAAAGAAAACAATGAAAATGATCAAGAGAAATCCGAAAAAATTCTTCATGAAAAAACTGACAAAAATGAAGAAAAATCTTCTGAAGAAAACTCAAAAGAAAACAATGAAAATAATCAAGAAAAATCCGAAAAAATTCTTCATGAAAAAACTGACAAAAATGAAGAAAAATCTTCTGAAGAAAACTCAAAAGAAAACAATGAAAATAATCAAGAAAAATCCGAAAAAATTCTTCATGAAAAAACTGACAAAAATGAAGAAAAATCTTCTGAAGAAAACTCAAAAGAAAACAATGAAAATGATCAAGAGAAATCCGAAAAAATTCTTCATGAAAAAACTGACAAAAATGAAGAAAAATCTTCTGAAGAAAACTCAAAAGAAAACAATGAAAATAATCAAGAGAAATCTAAAGAGATTCCAAATGAAGATGATGATAAGACGGAGGAGGAAATTCCAGTTGATGAAAAAATTAGAAATCAAGAGAGAATCAGAGAGCAGTTAGAGAAGAGAAAGAAAATTGATGAATTAATAATAAATGAATTATTGACTAAATCCAAAAATGACCAAATCGATGTAAGTAATTTAACAATTCTTCCAAATGATGTCTCTATAATTGACATCATAAGTCTCCTTTCTTTGGCTCTTTACGCAGGAGAAAAAGAAGAAATTGATTTTGTCTCAAATGATGGAACAAAAATTTTGTCACATTTGTTGACTTCACTTAACCATTTTCATTTAACAATTGATTGCTACAAATCACTGTTTTTAGTTGTAGAAACATCATTGACAGAAGACATAAAGAATTCCATGATGAAAGACATTCTTTTGAACTTCAATATTTGGAGATTTTCTCCTGACCAAACTCAAATTTATTCTTATTTGTCAGAAAAAATTTTTGAATATTCACCAACATTAATTTGCCAGAATTTGTCATTGAACAAACTCCTAAACACAATAAGAATCTATTTCTGGTACGATAGATTGGAAATTCACAATGACGATAGAAAAGTGACAGACATAACTGAAGTGAGAAAATTTTTATTTAATTTTGGTTTAAACATTGCGTGGCATTCATTAACTATGAAGAGTTTCAAGAAAATTATATCACATATCATAACTGTTCCCGATGATCGACAAAGAAAAGATTTGTTACAGTTTTTGTTGAGTGTAACAAGTCATAATTCAATTATCTTTAATTTGGGAACACAAGTTTTGACTTTTTCAAAACAATTGAATAGTTTATTTAATTCTGACGATGAAGAAATCATATTTTTGACGATTTCTAGTATTTCTGCTTTGCTTTATTGTTTCCCTGAAATGAAACCGAAATTTGTCACTTTTGCCACTTCACTTGACCAAATAATTCCACAAAGAAAATTTGGAGTTTTGTTTTTACAGAAAATTGTTTCAATTTTACCTGCTTTCCCTGAACTATTCAAATTTATCACTTTTGTATCAATGAACTCACGAAATAGTTTAGTTTATGATGTCATGGAACCTTCCATTAAGTTCACAACCATTGATTACTGGTACAAATATTCGATTGTTCACGCGATAAATGACAAAGAATCACAAATTTTCACTTTTCTTTGCAAATGTAAACTGGAAAACACATTTGAGTTCGCAATGATGACTGATTTGATCTGTAGATCTATAAATAAGGACCAATACCATTATTTGTCACTTTTGATATCGGCTTCACTTCACTTTGCATTTGATTCACGAGCTAAAACACCATTGATGAATAATTTAGTTAATATTGCATTCCATTTCATATTTTTCCATGATGGATTTGCGAAAACAAACAAAAACATTGATTATTTGTTTGAAAAATCTCCGTTTTCTGACAAAGAAAGAATGATTTTGTCTTCTAGATCAAATCCTAACATTGCCTCTTTCTCTCCAAAGAGAAACTACAAGAATATTTCTAAATCTAATCCAAATTTAACTGATTTGACTGATTCAGTTGATGACTCTGATGAAAAATTACAAAGATTTTTCTTGGATGATTCTGAAACAGATAATTCTTTGATTTTAGAGAAAAATCAAGAAATTCCTGAAAATTCTGAACAAAAAACTGAAAATCAAAATAATAATGAAAAATCTGACAAAAATTCTGAAAAAATGTCAGAAAATGTCAAAAATATACAAGAAAAAATTAATGAAAAAGAAAATTCTTCTAATAATCAAAGTCCAGATAAAAATACAGAAAAATTGACAGAAAATGTCAAAAATCAAGAAAATTCAGAAGAAAACGTCAAATTTTCAGAAAATTTGTCAGAAAATGTCAAAATTTCTGATGAAGAAAAATCGAAAATTAGTCAAAATAATGAGACAACGAGTATTAATACTTTGTTGAATGAAAATACGAAGTCAAGTGACAATTTGTCAGAGAATGATAAGACACCGAATTCATCGATATTAAATGAATCAGAGAACATGTCAAATTCGAATTTATCAGAGTCAGAGAGATTTATTTCTGATTCAAACATTTCAGAATCAGATCTAAGTGAACAAATAAATCATTCCGAAGTAGAAAAACTCCAGTTAAATCTCACTGACCAACTGATAAAGAAGTACAGATTTGTTCCAACGAAAGAACAATTTTCTCTCCGAATTTCAGACAAAAAAGGAAAATGGGAAGATTTTTCTTTGAGTTTGCTTTTACTCAAAATTTTCTCTGTCTACAAATTAGACAATGTCCACTCGTTTTCTTCAATTGTTTTGTACTTCTTACATCAATCAAATGACGTAGGAAAACAAATTGCAAATGATTTGTACAGAGACAATGTAAAAGTTTTGAGTGACGATAATAGCGGTTATTTTGTAATGTTTAGAGACAAAATCACCGGAAAATTTTCAACAAACTCATTCAATATTTTGAATGACATCAACAAATTCAACAATTTTAATTACAATGATCATTTTTTGGCCGAAATCAAGAGTATAAGGAAAAACATTAATTATTTATCTGTCAATTCAATTAAAGTTCTTCCAAACTCTTTACCTCCAGAAATCTTTAACTTCGAAGAGAAAATTTCCAATTTCTACAACGAAATTCAATCTTTTAAGAATGAAAATCGAAAGAAATGGCACATTTTCTGGTCAAATGCTTCACAAGGACCATTTATGAATAAAAATGAACAGAAAACAAAAAGATTCAAGAGAGATGAAAGTTTGTTTTACTGCATGTGCCCGTGGAGACTGAAAATAAACAGAAAATTCGATGACCACACGAAAGAATCAATCGCAAGAGAACTCGGAAACTCCCAGAAACAAGAAGAAGCAATGAAAATGTTTAAAGAAAAAGAAAACGAAGAAAAAGTGACACTTCCAAAACTTCTTGAAATTGTTGACACAAAAACAAAAGAAAACAAAGTCGAAGGAAATGAAAACCAAATTTCTGAATTTGATTGTGAATTAATAACGATCAAAAAGTGTCAAAAATGTAAATTTATAATTTGCAAATCATTTTTGATGATAGAAAACAATTTCAAGAAGACGAAAATTGTTTATTTCCATGAGATATCGAGAATACTACAAAGACCAAAATTCCAAAGAATTACAGCAATTGAAATTTTTACAAAAAGTGGCAGATCTTATTTTGTGAACTTTACACAAAGAAATTTGCCAAAAGTGATAAAATCTTTGACATATCACTTGACGAATGAAAACATTTTGATCCAGAAGACATCGAATTTTGCGAAGTTCTTTTCACAACAAAATCTAACAGAAAAATGGCTGAATTACGAATTATCTAATTTTGAATACTTGATGTTAATAAACGTCTTTTCAGGACGATCATTTAGCGATTCGAGCCAATATCCATTTATGCCATGGACTTTGAAAGAATTCAAGAAATCCAATTTGGATTTAGCAGATGTAAGTAATTATAGAGATTTGACGTTACCTATTGGACAAGTTGATAAAGAGAGATACGAAATGTTGAAACAAAGAGTTGATTTAGGCCAAACAAACTTTTTGTATTCGAGTTTTTGTGTTTCACCTTTGAGTTTGTTTTTGTGGTTGATAAGAACAGAACCATTTACAACTTTGCACACTGAAATGCAGAGTGGAAAATTCGATGTTCCAAGTAGAATTTTCAAATCGATTTCGGAAGCTTATAAACTTGCAACAACAAGAATTAATGATTACAGAGAATTGATCCCAGAATTTTTCTATTTCCCTGAATTTCTTTTGAATTTAAACGGTTTTGACTTTGGCCAAGTTCGTGATGAAAAAGTTGATGATGTCAAATTACCTCCGTGGTCAAAGAATGCTGTTGAATTTGTTTATAAGATGAGAGAAAGTTTGGAATCCGATTATGTGTCAGAAAACATCAATAATTGGATTGATTTTTATTTCGGTGTTGACCAAAAGAAAGAAAACAATTTGTTCTGCGAAACATGTTATTCAGGAATTTGGACAAAAGAATTACTTAAGAACAAGGAACAGAGAGATACAATTGAAGCACAAATGACTTTGTTGGGACAATTTCCTCAACAAATTTTCACTCAAAAACATCCAAAAAGAAAGCCGAGAAAAGATATAATAAATGATATGAGAGAAAACAACAAACTGAAGATCTCGGAGAATAAAATCAAATCTGCTTCAATCAATGAACATTTAGTGACAATTTTGTCAGAAAATGAAATTAAAGTTATTGAAATCAATCCAGAAAATTTCAAAATTATGAAAAATTATTTGAATGAAAATGTCGAAATTGTTTTGAATGAGAATTTGTATTTGACGAAAACATACTCAATACAATCATTCAACAACACAAACGACAAAATTGTTGACTTAGTGAATGTTTCTTGTTATTCTCTCAAGAGAAAATCAAAAATTGTTGTTTCTTATGATTCAATTTTGAATATTTTCAAAGATAATTTCACAATTTCAGTTCCATTTTATGGAGAGTCAATCAAATGTTGTGATGTTTCAACCGAGTATGGCTTAGTTATTTGTGGAACATCATCATTCTCAGTCAACATTTGTAAGTTGAATGATGGATCAAAGATTCAAACATTAGATTTAGATTTTTGTCCAAACTTTGTTTTGATCACAAATAAATGGGGTTTCATTTATTGTCTTGACAAAACAGGCAACATTATGGGATCTACCCTCAATGGAACTGTTTTCATGCGAAATAACCATTTTGGGAAGGAAATCACATGTTTGACATCGTTTTCATCAAATTTCGGCTTTGATTACATTGCTCTTGCATATGAAGATGGAAAAATCGTTGTTTTTGATGCATTTTACGGCATGAATGAAGGAAACAAACAATCATTTAGATGCTACAGCAAAGTTATCTCACTGAAATATCTTTATGATTTGAAATGTCTTTGTGCAATCACAGAGAATGGTTTCATTCACTTCTTTTATGTACAATTATAACATATTTATATATTTATATTTTATTTTTTTCTTTATTGTTATAAATATTTATTTTTATATGAACTAACACATATATTAGCTTCTTTAAAGTTGTACAAAATGACATTTTAAACTGGTTTTATAATAATAAATTTTGAAGTATATACTTTTAATAATATAGGGTGTCCAAAGGTGTGTTTAGCACAAACCTGAATACTGCGAATAGAAATAAACAAGTTACATATATATAAAGTTTATTTAAATATAATCACTATTGGATTCAATCACGCGTTCGCAGCGATCGATCCAGGCTTGAAAGACACGCTTTAAATCATCATGAGAAAATTGCTCAAATTGCTCTCTTACAAAATTTTCAAGATCATCTGGACTCGCGAATTCGCGTCCTTCAGCTCTCTTTTTTAGCGTGCCGAATAAATAAAAGTCAGAGGGTGCAATATCAGGTGAATAAATTGGGTTTGGAACAACTTTGACATTGTTTTCCACCAAGTAATTCATTACCTTATGACTTTTGTGAACTCTTGAATTATCAAAATGAATTGCAAACTTTTGTTTTTGTTGTTTGGATTTCTCAAACTCATCAGAATTGATAATTTGAGTAAGAACATTGTCAATTAGATACTGAGCATTCATCGTATTAGGTTTTTGAAGAATATCAATTGCGATGATGCCATTCACGCCCCAAAAAACCGACAACATCATCATTGGTGTGTCAATTTTTTTCTTCGGGAATGTTTGCGGATTTTCATCCTTCGGGATCCACATGATTTTGGCTTCTGTTGCATATTGAAACCAAGACTCGTCCCCTGTTACTAAAAAGCGAAACTTCTTGGATTGATACGCACCCAATATAGAGAAGAGCTCTTTCGAAGATTGGACTCTAGATTTTTTTTGAACTGAATTAAGGTTGTGCGGAACCCAACGTGTATACGCTAGTTTGTAGTTCAAATAATTGTGCAGATAATAACTGACTGTTGTACGTGGTATCTTTGTCATCTCCTCTATCCTTCTGAGTGATGCTCTTGGGTCTTCATCTAGCGCTTGAAGAATTGCTTTGATTTTTCTTTGATCCGGCGATTTTTTGTCATTTTTTATGATGGGTGCCTTTTTGTTCATGAAGTGATACATCCTAACATGATACGTTACAGTGGAATAGCTAGGAGCATCCATACCGAAGCATTTTACCAATGTCTCGTAGATTTTTTTACAGTCTTTGCATTTTTTTGCAAGAGCGAGGATGTTTTCTTTATGATTCATTAAAAAAATGAAAAAAATCCCGCCAAAATTTCCCGCGAAACCACCTCTTGTCTAAAAATTCATTTTATATCCCGGCATGGCGCCAAAATACAACATACTCATCATATACATATATTCATATTTTTTATTATATATTTATAATCAGCATATATCTCCTTTAATAGTCTCATATAGAGCGCTGTGCTAAACGCACCTTTGGACACCCTATATTTACTAATTCTTTTCATCTCCCATTAACACTGCTTTGTAAGGTAAGTTTTAAGAAAATTAGCTATTCTCTTGCCACTAAAATATTTATTTAAATTACTTATAAGGTCGACAGATTGAGCACTTTCTAACACGCAATTTTTTGGTCTTTTAGAGTTTTTGACATCTCTGATTTTTGTGTCAGAAAGTGTTTACATATATCTGCTTTTTCCAATCATTTCCTACTCAGAAATATCATAAACTTATATCATAAACATTCTGAGATGATTGGTATTACTGATTCTAACTCTAAAATCAGGTAAAATTAACCCAGAAAGTTTATGATATAAGATTAAATCGTTAATTATTATATAACTCATACTGATCAATATACGTTTTTTATGATCCAATGACAAGTTAAATTTTATTTTATGACTTGGATCAACTAGGAAAAAGAAATTGGAATGCAAAATATATAAAATAATATTGTATATTACACATACAAGAATCAATTTGTCCTTGACTAAATGTAATTTTAACATATCCATGACCTGAATTGCCTTCTTGCATAACAAAATCATTCGTAGGAGATGGAATAGATTCAGAGCCACTTCGCATAATAGGGACTTGAAAAACATAGCCCGAATAGTGATTAGGACTGCCTGAATGGACAGGATTTGATAAACTGTATTCTGGTCTGATCGCATTACAATTCGGATATCCAGAAACGAAAGATGATCCTGACGATCCTGTGCCGACCAAAAAATCAACAACAGCTCCAGCACCACCTCCATAATAGCCCCCCACCGCCTGAGCCCCATTGATTGTTTGGCTGTCCACCAGCCTTTCCAAATGATCCACTTTCTCCTCGATTTATGTTCCCTTCATATCCAACGCCACCTTTTCCTCCGGAAGTTTGGGTGGCTCTTACGGCGATATCTAAGGCACTTCTGTTAGTACATCCTGGTTTAAGTGCTCGACTACCATCATAACCTGTCAGAGTTCCGCCAGGTGATCCTTCGATAATTGCCCAGTGGTCTTCGGTACCAGAACCGCCTGCGGCAACCATGATTCGACTCTTCAAACTATCAAGATTATCCCAATCTCCCGAAACATATCTCATATCAGTAGCACCACCGCCGGAACCACCATATTTTCCTTCTAACGATAGAACCCCATGGCCACCGCCATTATAGGAATTTGGACCATTAGGAGAGCCTTTCTGACCAAGATAGAAGAACATGGTAGTTAATGTTTTAAAGTTAATGTATCCGCTGGTGTACGATCCTTTGCCACCAATAGTAGAACTGTTATAGCCGCCGCCGGAAGCACCGTAAAGTTCGATCTTGTATATGCCTCGTGGAAAGACAACTTGGTATGGAAAACATGAACTATCGGTATCTTTGCATGGATATTCGAGTAAAACTCGTGATTTCGAAAGAACTTGTTTCTTGACTTTTGTTTGATCTGCATTCAAAACTGAAATTGCTACTTGTAATGTCATGATATATGATTAACTTCTTAATAATATAACTGATACTGATTATGATGATATGAAAAACTATTTAGCAAGACTGATTTTGAATGTTGTGATTAAGATCATCTCGAAGAACTTTTAAATTTTAGCAAATTAATAGTAAAATTGTGATGGAGTGTATCATTGTATCATAGTATGCGCTCATGAATCTATTTGATAAGGTTTGTAAGAATGCTCAAAATGTTTGATTGTGGTAAAAAATAGTCCATTTTTTTCAGAAGTGATTCAAAAAATCACATATTTTGACAACTCTTTTGTGTACTATTAAGGCAAAAACATTGCTTTTGATGAATTTGATAACATGAATGAAAAACACAAACTGTAATTTAGAAGTTACAGCAAAGTTATCTCAATGATTAGAAAAGTCTTTCTGTGTTAAAAGAGAATTATATTTTTCAATAGTTTTATGATTGGTATTAAATGTTTATACTATATTATTTTTTTGTTGTTTTAATAAAATTTATTTTTTGAAAATTAATGTCATCGATCAGATCGTTTCTATGAAATCATCAATACAATTATTATTTGTATATGGATTTATGATTGATTTTTTCATTGGGCTATTTTATGATTTGATCAGAAATATTAAGCTCATAATATCTGTGAAGTTTAATACAAATGTCTTGAATATCAATACTTTAATTTAAAAAATAGATAAATGGAATGTATCAGACTTTGAGAAGAATGATCGCATTTTTTTTTTCAAAATTGTTCAATATTGTATAACAATCAAAACAAGTGTATGTTGTAAAATATCAGCATTTTATTGAATGAGTGAGCAATTATATCATATTTTATGAGAATTCATAAGAACAATAGAATGATACATTTTTTAATAAATAAAATTTTGCAAATTACCTCAGACTTTTCAGAGGATTGAGTGGCAACTCAATCCTCTGAAATAGTCTGTGGTAATTTTTAGTCTCTACACTATTTCAATATAAACTCCATTTTTAAACAGTTTTTAAAAATCGAGCATTGAAAAGTGTGATGAGACTTATCAGTTCAATCAGAATATTTATGAAATCAATAGAATTGAAAGTGAATGATCTGATTTCAATTTCTTTGAAAATTTGTATATGATAACAGCATATGGAGTTATAACTATATCATATTGAGATCAACTTTTGAATTAAATTTTGTGAATATAAATTTTGTGAACTTACCGGCCATTTTTAAGAAAAACAATAACTTATTATTGAAAATTATAGGTTATTATGATGGCATTAAATGCATTTTAGTTCTTGATGTCATAGTTATAGTTATAGTTATATTTTATTGTCAGTTTTGTTTTTCGTTATGACAGTTATTATTTAAAATATTGATATTCAGATATCAATAGTTGTATTATGTCAGCGATATTTTTTGAATTGACATTTATAAAATTGAGAGCGAAAAAACAATACTTTTTTTATAATTGATCATCATCGAAAAATGACTTTTTTGAAGTACTTCCTTTCGAAGAGTGCACGTGATAACTTCTGTATTGGTCAAAGTGAAGATGTATTTTATGTTTGTTTCGAAACATCTGTCGTTATTGACGAAGATGAGTACTTCTTGACAGGATATAACAATCACAGGCTTAATACTAGCGGATTCAAGATAGAGACTACTATATCAGACAACAAATTACATTTCAACTACAAAAGTTCATTTCTAGACGAAAAATTTTTCATTCTTAAAAACAAAGTTTTGAATTTTAGTAATAATATTACCGCTGAAAAAACGTACATTAGTGAAGATAAAAACCTTATAATAAAATATCAAAATACATGCTTCTCAATTGATTTAACGAAATTCTCAACAATTTCAAACAACCCAGTCTCCTTTTTCTATCAAGATGCTATTTCTGAGAATTATAATGATATTATTCTATATATGCCAAAAATAACCTTTCCAAAAAGTAATCAATTGCAATTTGATCAAAAAGTTGTCGAAAATAGAAAATTATCAGAAATAATAGATGACTCACAGATAAAACTATCAATCACATTAAAGCCTTTACATAAATATAAAATTAACTTCCCGACTTCTATAAAAATTGGTGGAAGTATTACACACAATTCTGAGTATGTTGATCTTCACTATTCCATCAAAGATTACTCAATACCATTTCAATCTAGAGTTATTATGAACAAGAAAGTAGATCAAGATTTCTTCTACAGATTGCCTCTCTTTGCAAATTTAAGTGAAAGCATAAATAAAGTTCAAGAAATATCTATCTTTGGAGAAGATGAACAGAATATAAGATCTGAAACCCAAAAATTTTCTTTTATATTAATTTTTCCAGAAGTTGAATGCACAGTAGATCATGAAGATGTTCAGTTCAAAATTGCTAAAGAAAAGTACTTATGGCTTTCTTTTTTAGTTGATGTATAACAACATCAATTGTAGTTGTATTTAAATTTAATTTATTTGAATAAAATTTATTATCGATATGTAATAAACAATGATGATTATGTAAATCAACTTCAAATTGCATTTCATGCATTTAAATAGCACTTGAAAGATAGACACGGCTTTTTTATGAAGTATCACTTACTGATGCCAGAAAAAAAAGCATAATTTACTAGGAATAGATAACAAGTTTTTACATATAAAAAAATTTCCGCGTATTGAATTTATCTAAAGAGAAATGGAGATGCAAAGTTCATATTAAAATTATATCTCATATTGCAAACACAAGAAACAACAGCACAACGTTGGATGACAGTAATTTTAACATATCCATGACCTGAATTGCCTTCTTGCATAACAAAATCATTCGTAGGAGATGGAATAGATTCAGAGCCACTTCGCATAATAGGGACTTGAAAAACATAGCCCGAATAGTGATTAGGACTGCCTGAATGGACAGGATTTGATAAACTGTATTCTGGTCTGATCGCATTACAATTTGGATATCCAGAAACGAAAGATGATCCTGACGATCCTGTTCCTACTAACCATGTAACAAGAGCGCCTGCACCGCCTCCATAATAGCCCCCACCACCACCAGAGCCCCATTGATTGTTTGGCTGTCCACCAGCCTTTCCAAATGATCCACTTTCTCCTCTACTATTTGGCCAACCTCCTACTTTTTCATAACCAATGCCACCTTTTCCACCGGAAATTTGTGTGGCTCCTACGGCATTATCTAAAGCACTACTATTAGTGTATCCAGGTCTTACAGCTTGTTTTCCGTTGTTTCCGGTAAGAGCACCACCATGTGCCCCTTCAATGAATGTCCAGTGGTCTTGGGCACCAGAACCACCTGCCGCGACCATGATTCTACTTTTCAAATTTTGGAGATTATCCCAATCTCCTGAAACATATCTCATATCAGTGGCACCACCACCAGAACCACCATACTTTTGATCTTGTGCAAAATATACGCCGTGACCGCCCCCATTATAGGTATTGGCACCATTTGGAGAACCTTTCTGGCCAATGTAGAAGAACATGGTAGTTTTTGTCTTAAAATCAATGTATCCACTTGTATAAGATCCTTTACCACCTATAGTGGTACTACTGTTGCCTCCTCCGGAGGCACCATAAAGTTCGATTCTGTAAATTCCAATGGAAAATATGACTTGATAAGGGAAACATGAATTTCCAGTGCCATCACATGGGTATTTTAATAATACTTGTGAATTCGGAAGTATTTGTTTGTTGATTTTTGTTTGATCTGCATTTAAAACAGAAATTGTTAATGGTAATGTCATAAAAGAAGATTAAAGTGCTTGTTGTATTACTGATTCTGACTCTAAAATCGGGTAAAGTTAACTCAGAAAGCTGAGTTTAAATGCACTTTTGAAAATCAGCTTGAATGTTTCTCAAAGTTTTTGAATTCGATTCAAACTCTCAGAAAATATAATTCATTGCGAATAAAAAAATCGAATATTGTTATATTTCATTTAATTGCAAACAATTGTTGATAATTTTCTATCCGAATAATTTGACAAATTTTTTAATAATAATGAGGAAATATGATTTAACCAAGTAAACTTGATATTTGTTCAACCAAAATTTTTCTAATTGAATGGACGCCTTATTTAGCAATTCAAAATGTTTAATCCGATCAGCCAATATGGAAAGTTTATAGTAAATATCTGGAACATTATAAATACGTAATTTGATCTTATTCTTATTTACCGTCTTTTTCATCGTTAAATCTCAATTAAGAGATAAATGGCGCATCATCAATAATATCTTTCATATATCAAATTTTCATTCAAAGTTCAGATCTTTGAAAAAAAAATCGATTTGATTTAAAAAAAGGGCGCGTAAAGGGTTGGCGTCCTAAGGCGTCCTGATGTAAACTATTCAATTTTTGAGAAGTTTACACCATAATTGAATAGTTTATGGCGTCCTGAGAGGAGATTTCAATGGGTATGGCGTCCTAAAAAATAGAAGAAAATGATTTTTTCTCGATTTTTCTAGAAATTGAATTTTTTAAAAAAGAAAAAAATCAAAACGTATACATTCAAGAAAGACTATAAATGAAGATTTTTCTATTTTTTTTCATTCTAAAACATCTTTTTTTGGATAATTTTTTTTAAATAAATATGTAAGAAAGATTGAAGAAAAAGTAAATTTACTTTCAGAAAATTCGTTTTACATGATGTAAGACCCATAACAACTATAAATATTCAATTATTTAAAATAAAAAAAGAAAAACAGATTAAATGTATCTCACATCAAAATCCATTGACCTAAGGATGTTAAGTTTCTGTTTTTAAAAGTTGATATTTTTTTTTTAATTTTAAGAAAATTAATAGCATGTTATTAGACAATAGGAGTGTAATGATATTGACTAAACAGAAATGAGAGAATAGAGATATAATTTTGATAAGCAATATTGCAAACAAATTCTGAAGTAAAATCGCGATCAATAATTGAAAATTACGATCATGTACTGAAAAATGACGATCGAATTGAATGAATAGAATTATATCTAAGAAAAAATAAATTGTATTTAGAAGATGAACAAAGAAAGGTGTATGCTAAAAATCATTTAACAATAAATGGAAATAAAACGAAATTGTGAAAAGAAAAAAATGAAAATTGTTAAATAATATATTATTTTTTAGTCATAAGAATAAAAATATAGTAGTTATAAAAGGAATTAGACTTCATATATCAATTCTTTTTCTCTGTAGATGTGGAACGTTTGCTTTTCGATCTCTTTCGATGAACTTGAAAATATAAGTTATTATCGCTGAGAATCCTTTCCGAAATAGGAGCTTTACGTTTAGGAGGATTGTCGGATGAATTTTGTTTTTTATTGTTTGATTTTGTTGTTATGGAAGATTTTTTCTTATTTTTTTCAGAATTTTGCTTGCTATTAACTGAAACTTGTTTTGACGGCCCAACAATAGCATTTGTAGTAGGAAGAATTCCCAATAACGAGCGCATTTTCGATAATTGTTTTTCAATATGATCAAGAAGGTCCAGCTTATGTTCTAGATTACTAGACATTTGATTTGTAGAAGGATGGCTTTGATTTTCTGGTTCTAAATCTGTAGAGTCTGCAATATTTGAATTTTCGGAGCGAATTGGAGCATCTGAACCTTGATTTGTATCGGCTTGCTCAAAATTAGTTTGAATTGGAGTGGATGAATTAAAATCTGGATGATTTAATGTTTCATTAAATAATGCCATAATTTTTTCTCTTTTTTCATTAATAAACTTAGTGATCATTGTATCTTTATTTGTTAGATCGATCGATTTGAGTATATCTGCATCATGAACTGGAATATTTTCGAACAATGAACTCGATTCTATGGAACCATATGGAGAAATCTCGTTCTGAGCCAAAGAAAGATCACTTACGTTGTATTGTTTGATAGAAAAAATTGTTTTCTCAAGTTCTTTTTGAAAGCAGTCAAGAATATAATTTTTGTAGCTATCAGTGATAACGGTTTTTATATGGCGCTCGATCTTCTGGTTATTTTTGATGGCGTTATATTTATCTAATTGGATTTGAGATATCTTCTTAATAGCTTCATAAATGTTTGGATGTTTTAACGAAGAAAATTCTGAATGCATACTCTCGAGGCAATCATTAGTGAATATTGCAGTTGCATTATTATATTGAGATATTAAAAGTTAGTATACATATCATGGGTACGACGGCACTGCGTTCCACCGTACCCCTGTTATGTGAATTTGACACTTTACGAAACCTTTAACGTATATTTTACAGCACAAACGACAACACCAACTTAACCTTAAATATTTACAAAACCGTCTGACACATAAACGACTTCACTAATGTAAAAATAAACGTTCTCACTTACAAAAGTATTGCAACTCCTCCCATTGCTGTGCTTCATATAACAGCTCATAATCTTCTGACTCACTTTCTTCTTCATATAGGTCAAAATCACTGTCATAGTTTATACCTGTAAGTTTTGACAAAGCTAATGAAACACGCTTACCGTTTGTATCGTATGCTTGTATAAACTTTCCATTATGCTTGTAGTCATAAACGCTCAAACTAACTTTACCCTTTCTCCCTCGTATCTGATAGAATGTATTTTCACGAGGAACGAAGAACAAGTTCTTGAACTCATGACCGTTGTAGTTTGTTATCTCAATAGTTTTCGTCATTTATATAAAAATAAAATAAAAAATAAACTTAAAAATTAATGATATCACCACCCTCACACGTATGAAAACATAGCACAAAAATAGATTTAGGTGAAGTGGTGAGATCTCACCTGTTTTTTCACCCTGTTGAATTCATTGCTTTATAACTCTCTTCCTTGGTTTCTTTTTAGTTGCTTTCTTCACGTCTGTCTCCAACTTGACTGTCTTTCTTCTTCGTCCATAATGATACCAGTTACTTCCACCAGTCAATGGGTCAAATGGTCTTTCGTAAGGGTTTCCATACATTCCATAGGGACCATACGGAAGAACTACTGGTGGAGAAGAAACATTTTCTTTAGTTCCATCGACTCTATTTAAATGCATTGTTTCACCTTTCATCTGGTCATTAAAGTCTTTTACGTGTTTTGCAAACTCATCGTCCTTTCCTAAAGCATTTTCTGACTCAGTCGCAACCAAATTGGATGCTTTATTTATGAGCCCTATTTTATTTAATCTTAACTTCTTTGCAACCCAGCCTCCAATCTTTCCTTTATTTGCATCTAATGTCTTTGAAACCCTTCCTCCACTCATTTTATTTACTGCGTCATAAGCTCCAAGTGCTTTTGCTCCAAATGCTAATGCTTTTGTTCCCATTGCGCCTAAAGCTGCCCAAGCTACCATTTACCCATATTAAAATCATCTCTCTTCAATATTATCTCATAAAAGTTCTCGTTACTGGAGAAAGTCAATGAAACATAAACATTCTCACGGGCTTCACCCTCACCGCTTTGCGGTCTATCTAACTTCTTTCTTATCTCATCTATTCGCTTCAAAATGTCTGAACAATTGCTAACATCTTCTACAACAGTTATTTCATCATGAACGACCTTTAAGAACAAGCTCATTTAATATGCAATTAAAATCATCTCAATAATGAGTCCATCCTTTCCATCTTTAGGTAGCACAACATCTTTCATTGAAGAAGGTTCGACAAGTCTTATGTTAAACTTACTGACAAAGTTTGTTATACTATAATGCTTCGGCGGCGAATACATGTAGTTTGAAAGACATAATATAGATTCTTCAGCAAATTCACTTATACTGGATTTTATAACAATGTTCTCACGAGACCAAATACCACCAATTGACAATCTTGTAAGCAATCCTGCTGAACCTTCTACTGTAAACGTCGATGGTAACATTCCACGAAGGTCATCTATTGACATCGTTGAGTCACTGTATTTAAATATTTTCTTAAAGCAATCGTCATTATCTAACCATGCAATAGCTTTGAAGTTTTCATTCGAATATACATCTGCTTCATTAAATGTAAAACCTGACTTCTTTGCAGAGATGACTTTAAAATCTATTGAGTTTGTTTCAAAATTATATGCTATGGTAACTTCTGAAGGTAATGGATGCCCTTCCGCAGTCAGTTGTTCTCTCACTACCGTTTGAAGCTTTGTATTAAAAACTTTCATGTCATCTCCTGTATCTAAGTTCACATACACAGCAACAGGGAAACTATCTTGCTTCTTTGTTTCATCATTATATCTCAAAACATTAAAGTTCTTCAATAATATTGTTCTTCCTGCTGGAATACTTCGAACCTGTCTGATTTCAATAGCTTTCTCACCTCCTACATACTCTACCCAGTGTCTTGGATATTCATAAGTATACTGACTTTCTTGAATTTTGGTAGGTTTCATCATAACATGTTCATAGTATATCTTTATACTCTTGTCAGTTAGACTCGGTGCTATGTTCTGAATATTTCTGACTTGCATTTTTAATGGAGATAAAATGAAGCATTTAATACATGACGTAGATGAAGACATGAATGAAACTACAGACAAACTTAACTCTTCTCTCATTCTTCCTTTCAGCAAGGACTATGAGTTCTGTTCAAATGGTGTGTATTTCTATTGTGGAAAGATGGGTTCAGGTAAGACATTTAACCTCATTCGTCATATCTATAACAGAACGTTTAGGAAATGACTCATATTATGACCAAATCATTATATCAGCAACTTCAGACTCTATGGACTCAACAGCGAAAACATTTATGTCAAAAGTTCAAGCCTCTGTCGTTAAAGTTCCAGACAGTGAACTCATTGAATTTCTTCAACGTTACATTCGACGTAAGAGGAAATATTATGCCATCGTTGAATTTATACAGTCAGGAATGCAAAAGACTTCTGAGGAGATGGAAAGAATTATTGACAAACACCACTTACGTCAATACTCAGGAGTTTACGATATGAAACGACTTACAAACTACATTCTGTCAAAACTTTCAAAATACCCCTTCAAAAAATATCCTTCAAACACTTTGTAGTTTGCGACGACTTCGCTGGAAAAGGTTTAGTGTCAAAACCAGACTCACCATTAGCTAACATCATTACTAAAGTCAGACATTACCATTTAACTGTAGCAATACTTATGCAAACATGGAGGTTTTTAGCTTTAAACATAAAACGTCTCATAACTGACTTCGTTATCTTTCAAGGTTTCTCACGCTATGATATTGAACTCATTTGGAAACAGTCAGGTATAACATTACCTTTTGAAGAAATTTGGGAAGCATATAAGTCTCTCATCTCTCCTCGTTCATACCTTGAGATTCATATCATGACTAATACCATTAAAGTCAAAAATATTCCATGGGAACGACCAACATTGTTTTAAAGTTTAACCTTCAATTGACTGATGGTAAACAAATTCCATGCATCTCTGTCGCCATTTCTGTTAATATTTTTGCTGTCATTCATATCATCCACTTCCCATCCGTTAGCTTTTGAGGATATGCGTTAGAATAGCTGTTCTTAAATGAAGGCTTTTCACCTTTGAGAGCATAAACTCTATAACTTTCTGCATACTTTATGTTTGAACCTCCTGAGCCATCATTGACATAAATTTTTATAGGCTTCCACCCTTTGTTCATGTTCCTGCTTCTTCCCTTAGCTCTTTTGTTCAGTAGTTCTACATCTTTATACACAGCACCTGTCTCAGTGAATTCAACAATATTTTCATTCGTTAGCTTTACATTCAAACCCTTGTCGAGTATATTGTTCATTTCATACATATAAAAGGTTTTTATTCTATATGAAATGAGAAGCAAATCCATCTTAGCTGGTGCCGTTAATGTTCCAATTGAACCAACATCAAATGTTGACTCACGAACGACAAACAATATTGTCATAAAGAACTATAGTTCAGAGTGTTTGAAAGAAAAAGAACCAGAACTTAAGTCGACCTTCGGTCTTGAATGGCGCCGTGAATTTAAACTCAGCTTCAAACGCTAACGCTACATCAGATGTTAAGTTAGAGTATCCACCACTGGACCAATTCTTTCAAGAGAAGCCAACGACAACCCTTACACAAATGTTCAAACAAATCCTTCAGATAACGTAGACCATTACCTTCTTCAGTTATACCAAACAATTTTACTCAAAGACGATAAGAAGCTTTTGACAAATCTTATAAGTAAGAACCAAATAATTCTAACAAAGGAGGACCTTGAAAATATTATATCACGAATAACAGGAAAGCAATGTGTCATTGACTATCTCGACCCTGAAATCGAATGCTGTGGTCAAACGCCACCATTCATGAAAATAGGTAACATCCGCATCATTGAAACACCAGGAACTACAGGAGTTGAGTTTAAGTATAAATATTTGCGAACGAGTATACAAAACTATCTAATGACTATAAGCTTTGTTTGAAATATGTTTTAGTAAATTAAAGCAATTTGTAATATCTATCCAAAACTTCTTCAACAGTATCGAACTCATCTTCATAATGCAAACCTAATCTTATTGACTTGGTGCAGTTTTCACTAACACAATATTTTTCTGTTCTCTTGACTGACATAACTAATTCATTTGTTTCATCAAACAGCAACAACCAAAGTTCATGACCTAATACATAACATTCATACTTTATATTTTTAGCTCTGAGTTCTCTTGTAAGCTGTTGCATTTAATATTTTCTAAAAAGTCAACTTCAACAGTCATTCGCACTGGTGCCTTCAGTTCTACAGGCCCTCCTTGAAAGTCAACAAGTCTGAATTGCATGTCTTTCAAATTATGAGGACTAATGCGAACCCATTTACCTAAATGAGTTGCTATGACAGGAACGTTTGGAATGAACATTGAATTGACTGCATAACAGAAAGACTTATATTCTACTGAACCTTTACTATTAACTCCTGAAATACCTGTGACATTAGCTATTTTAGACTCAATGTACAAACAATTACCATAACATACGTATGGAACAGATTTCATCTCAATCGTTTTGTCAACACTTTTCAAAGGAAATGTCATATGGTATGCACCCAAAAGAAGTTGTACTCTATGACTCATTCTTGGTATCTTAAACTCCTTCGCATAACTGAACTTCAAAACTCCTGCAATAAGTTTAACATTCATTAAGTTTTCTTCGTTATCCTTGTTTATTGTAGTATTTATGAGAGCATTTAACACTCCAGCTAATGTTTCCATCTTATATTCTACATTATTGTGAAATCTTATTTCGTGCTTCTTTCCATCTATTTCAATCTCCATGAAATCTGTTTCATCTGTTATAACAAAAGTTGCGATAGTATTGAAGTCAACCATTCTGAATGCAAGCGCCTCATTCTGTAGACCTAAGTTTGTTTGTAGCTTTACTGTCCCGTATTCGTTTGGGTCTGTACTTTGCAAATAGAACAACATTTTATTCTCATTAAAATATGAGTATAGCTGCATATGCGTATGAAGCTGACAGAGCTAAACGTTTATATTTTGGTCAATACTCTCTCACACTTACTGACAAATATATTGTTATTTCTGATGGAAATACTGAGAAATATATAACATGGAAGGACTATGAAAAGTTTGACCCTATTTTAACTCCATGTACTATGCCGTTTATAAAGGACGGTGAAATTATTGAAAAGATAATACAACCGTATATAAGTCTGTTCATGAAGCGTTAGAATATATGTTGAATCATAACCCAAAAGATTTGACCAAGCACTACACCATGTGCAATGCCTTTTATTAAGGACGGTGAAATCGTAAGAGTTCGGATTCAACGGTTTACACAGCTGTTCAAAACAGTTTACAAAACATTTTAGCGAATATCTTTAATTCAGAAACTACAGAAATAAAATTACCGTATATATACAGATGCTAAAGAAATTAAATCAAAAACGACAACATTATTTACGTCACTTAATGATTTAATGACTTATATCATTAATATTCCTGCACCAACTACAGCATTTGATCCAAACTCGACGGTTTGCAGTGTACCTTTCATAAATGACAGTTCATTAATTGCTTTAAGGGATTCGAACAGTAAATGAATCATTAAAGGCGTCATTAATGAAAATCATTGATTTTAATCATTCACGAATACATATAATTCATTCATTAATGTTTCATATGCTTCTAAAGAAGGTGAGCCAAAAACTATCGATAAAGCGGTGTATGAAATAAAAGCATCAACGACGAAATTGAATTCGTTAACTTTTGACGGTGATAGTTTCGTTAATGACATAACATCAGGGAAAACAATTTTAACGAAAGAATATTTAAAATCTCATGTTAGTGAGTTCGTTGAAATTGAAAAAGAAGGTGGAATTAAGTTCGATCCACTGAATTTCATTTTCAGCTTAGCGAATGCAGATTAATTTTGCTGAATGGACAACTATACAGAGTGAAATAAATGCAATATGGACGTTTTTGGGGTCAAAAGCGGGCAATGGGTGAGCTTGTAAATGCTGCAAGAACATTAGGTGAAACAGGAAATTTTGTAGATGGTTTTAAAAGACTTGTTTCAAATGTTTTAACAAACACAAAGAAATTATTTAGATATACCATACATAACGGTCAGATTTTCGAACAGGTAGCAACAAACCCTCCGGTTATGGCTGCGTTGATGATGGTTAGAGATATAAAACCACGTAACGACTGGAACGAAGAACATGAACAACAGGATACTGGTCGGGTTATTCGAGACATTAAAAACGTGTATCCTGAAGTTATTGATTTATTTAGAGGAGTTAATGATTCAATTTCAAAACATTCTATAACCCTCGATGAAGAGAATAAATTAACAGATTATATATTCGTCATTATTGCAGAATTAATGAAGAGAATAAATGAAAAAGGAATTGGTGATATCATTAATGTCAGCGATGTAATGATGAAAAGAAATTTTGACTCATTATTTACAAAACCGAAAACAGAATATAGTCTTTATGACGTAATTACCGAATTAATGAAAAAGATTAATGATAATAAGAGTTCTGGCGGAAGAGTTGAATTAGAAGTGAATGATGTTAATGAGAAATTAGCCGAAAAAGCAACAAAAATGAGCTTTTAGCTCTGAGTGATAAAGTCAAGAACCACGTTCATTATATAACTTCAGACGAACAGATTATAACGGACTACCATGGATATTTAACACGAAGTGATGAAGTGAAGACGGAAGATGTTAATGAAAGAAGATATAAATACATTCGTGCTAAAGGTTATGACATAAGCTGTACTGTACAGTATGACACGGTAAAGCACCAGAAGCATTTAGTTATAACGATGAAATTTATGCCTCTACTTTCTCTGTTAAAGGTGTATTAGTTGAACCAAGATTTACTTTGAGAGTTAAGTCAAAAATAACGTTTGAAGATGCTATTAAAAGTAAAGCTGACAAAGTTGAACTCGAAGCAATGAACAAAGTTTTGAAATCTCATAAACACAACATCTCCGATATAAATGAACTTCAAGCTACATTAGACAGTAAAGCCGACAAGAACCATACACATAAATCCTTCACTACTGTTAGAGCAGACGACATAATATTGAACTATACCCTTGGTTCAAGTGCACCTTTAGAGAATCCAAGTACAAGCGTAAAAGATACACTAAACTCCTTAAATAGTAAATGTATGAACATTGAAGGTCATGTCAGAAACTTTGAAACACATGAACTACCAGCAATGTTAGATAAAAAAGCAGATAAAGAACATACACATAAATCCTTCTCAACTGTTGCTATAGAAAGTATTGAAGGAACGGTTGGCGGAACTGGTGGGAATGCATTATATTATAAACCTCCTAACTTTCCACAAGGTTTAACATCGAATGAAAACATAACAACGAAGAAAGAAATTAGCTGTAAAAATGTTTATGTCATGGATGATGAAAATAATGTTAAATTCACTGCTCAAGATTTATATGATAATAAAGCTGACAAGAACCATACACATAAATCCTTCACTACTGTTAGAGCAGACGACATAATATTGAACTATACCCTTGGTTCAAGTGCACCTTTAGAGAATCCAAGTACAAGCGTAAAAGATACTCTTAACAATTTAGATAACAGTTGCAGGAATATCGAAGATCATGCCAGAAACTTTGAAGCATATGAACTACCAACAATGTTAGATAAGAAAGCAGACAAAACAGAGCTTCAAACATTAAAGACAGAAATACTTCAAACATTATATCCTGTTGGTTCTATTTATACATCAATGAACTCAACAAATCCATCAACAGTTTTAGGTTTTGGTATGTGGAAGCAGATTGTAGATAAATTCTTATACTGTGCTAGATATTCAAAGCAAACAGGAGGTTCGAAGAAAATTAAAGAAGCAAACCTTCCACCGCACACTCATACAGGAACTACAAACACAACAGGTAATCATTCACATTCAATAACAAAAAGAGGTTATATAAATCTTGCAGCAGGTTCGGATAGACAGGGAATGAATAGATATGATATTTCAAGTGACCCAGTAGATTCAAGCACAGGTATTTTCTGTGGAACCACAGGAAATCATTCACACACTTTCACAACAAATCCAACAGGCTCGGGTGCAGATTATATGCCACCATTTGTGACTATATTCGCATGGTACCGCGTTCAATGAACGCGCTTGAGCCTAGAATAAAATCTTTAACTTTACATAAATGAGCTTGAAAGAAGTATTCGAACAACATCCATGGAGGTCATTTAAGAAGTTCAATGAAGCTGCAAAGAGTTGGGGATTTACTAACAGAGCTGAAGTGAAAAGGTTCTTTGACAAAAATGTTGTACATCAAACAAAAATAAACCCTTACGACTACTTTTTACCAATTTACTCCAACACTCCTGACGCATACCAATTTGACACTCTCATTCAAAGCAGAAAAGGAGGACATAACCATTCCTCATCTTCATTAATGTTAACACTCGCAAAGCATATGCATATCCAATGAGGAATAAAGGAACTCGTGAAGTGTTAAGAGTTTTACAAAAGTTTGTAGCAGAACATAGCCCAAGTACTTTAACATCAGACCAAGACAGTGCATACCTCAGCAATGAAATCACAGATTTTCTCATTAAGCATAACATAACTCACTACACTACTGAAGACCATAACCATAACATACTCGGTATCATTAATCGCTTCATAAGAACGCTCAGAGATTTAAATCAAGAGCGAGACTTTACCGAAGAAACAATGAAACATTTTCTCGAAGTATATAATTCCTCAACACATTTTACAACAGGACATACACCAAATTCAATGACACAACAACAAGAAGAAAAGTATATACAAAAGAAACGAAGCCAAACACAAAATATCAGAAATTCAACACAATTTACCCTCATTCCTGGTACAAAAGTTCGTGTAGTTCTTGACGACAAACCGTTGACAAAGAAACGTTTAAGGTTAAGTAGAAACTATTATATCGTAGACTCTACGCAAGGTAATGGATATCTTATAAAAGCTGCTGACGACTCTATTGCGTTTTACCCTCGTCACAAATTAGTTGAAAGTAGTAATGGCAAACTTGCTGAAACCATTGACGAAGCAAAGCGAGGAGTGGTTATTGAAATACTTGGCTATAACATAAACGATGACACTTATAAAGTAAGATATGAAGGAGGCGTTGAAGATGTTATACCATCTAAGAACTTGAGAGAGTCAAAGCCAACACATCTGGGACCATTAGAGCGGGAGTACTGGAAAGACAAAAATATACCAGAAAGAATAAGAAAATTCTTCTAAACTTTTTCATTAGATGTAAATCAGACATGAACGAGAACAGTCATGATATCATTAATGGTACCATTTATTTTTGTCATAAATTTACACCAAAAATATATTTTAGGTGAAGAGGTGAGATCTCACCCGTTTTTTCACCTCTTTTTTCACCCTCACGAATTTTCATGAATTTCCTTAAGATAGAAAAAATAAAGTTAGTTTTATTTTTATTTATTTTTTTATTTTGTATGTAAAGACAGTAATGTCAGTCGAAGCAAAAACATTCACTAACAAATCTAATGGCGAAACATTCACAAAAGGCACTTATAACGGTATTGAAGTCTTACGTAGAGACAAGGATGGTTACATTAATGCAACAAATATGTGTCAGCAGTTTAGGAAAGACTTTAGAAAGTTGTTGGAAAATAAGTCCTGGGAAGAGTATTATAAGGCATTTTGTGAAGAATATAGCAACCGTCTGAATTCCGGCGGTTGCTTTTTATACAAAATTCATGCAGGAATTCCTGATGAAATCAAACAGGTTAGAGGAACGTATGTAGACCAAGACTTATAAACTATATAGCAATGTGGACTTCTCCAAAATATTGCATAGCAGTTGGAAAAATTATGGACTCCATAGACAAGAAAGTTCATGAGAAATTAGATGAAGAAGAACTCGAAGATACAGTAGAGAATGCTAAACATTTGTTTGAAGAAGAAGTTAGAAAAACGTGTGAAAAACAATTAGAACAATGAACGTGAGATATGTTATGGTTATAGAGATTCTTCATACGAACTAGACCAATGGGAACAAGAAGATTTAAAGAGAGAATTTAGAGAATATGAACTCGCTAAGATAGCATTAGAAGCTGCAGAAAGAAGTTAAAAGTTTGGGGTCGTTTTGTACAAAAATATTGTGAGTAAATGAACCATTTATTTTTATCATAAACGACCAAAAATATATGTTTACGTTAATGTTTTTAGGTTATTCAATAATTAATTATTTTGAAGAACTGAAGGTGTCACTCGGTTAATTAACATCTCTGAAAAATGATGACAACATGACATCACATTTTGACGAAGTGCAAATCTTCACTTCGTGTCAAAATGCAAAAAAATAATGCTGAAATGAAATATATTTTTGGTCAAAGCTTCCACGAGAGAAAGATTCCCCATTCGCTAAGGATTCCAAAAATGAAAAATCATTGATTTCGGCTGAGAAAAACGCAAAACCCTTCTTCCACGGGAACAAAGAAATAAAGAAGAAATAAAGTAAATTTTTATTTATTCACGTGGAAGATAGAGCACTTTTATGACACTTTTTATTCACGACAAACAAGACAAACAAAGAAAATAAGAAATACGGCGCTGTCGCGGTTCGAACCACAGACCCTGACCCTCCATAACACCACCTTAGACCACTGTGCTACGTAGCCTGTCGACATAAGATTTTAATAATTGCATATTTGACGTAAATTTTATTTCCATCTAGCTTCCACCGCATAAGATATTCATACGTGTTTGTAAGACATTCATTAAACTTCTTTTCTATTGCATCTAATCTTGCGTTATTTTTTTCAATAACTTGTCTGTATTCTTCATCATCTCCAGCAGTGTTTGGGTCTTCACGTTTAAAATATTCATTGTTAACCAATTTTTTATCTACAAATTTTATTAGTGTTTGATTCACTTCGTTATGATAACGGTCATATTCTTTCAATACGTAAGTGAAGACAAAATGCGTCGTACCTTCAATCTTAAAGCTTAAAGAACTTTCAACACAGTTTTGAGGGTCTGTCAGTGCGTCAATGAGATAGTATTCGAAGTCAGTCAATAATCTTTTTAAAGTCATTTCATACAGGATAAAATTTAATGTTGTGAAGAAATAGTGTTTATCTCAGAAAAAATAAAGTTAGTTTTATTTTTATTTATTTTTTTATTTTGTATGTAAAGACAGTAATGTCAACATCAGAGAAACAATTGCTATCGTTCATGAAGCCATAAATGAAGAATACGAGTACATACAGTATAACAAACAGTTACGTCTTATTCGTTCAGTCAAAGATGACATGTACCAAATGCAAAGTATTTTGAATGCTCTTCTTTCTACAAAGCAAGCATATCATTGGTTTGAAAACCAACAGGCAAAAGAACTTTTAGAAGAATTTCCTCATATGATTGCTTCCTCGGAAAACCGAGGGAAGAGATTCCGTACGAAAATCGCAAGAATTTGGCTCCTGGTTTGAAAGGTTATTATGTTCATAGACTTTTAGTAAATGCTGTAGCAATGTGGGCTTCACTCGTTATGCTTGTTATATTTTCATGATGTTAGATGAACTATATAAAGCAGAACGTGGAGAGATGGAAAAGAAACTTCAAGCAAAAGATGAAGTCATTGAATCCAAAGACAAAAGCATACAGAAAAGAATACCAGTTCAGTACCAAAAGGAAAGGAAAAAAGCTATAAGTATATGATTTACGCTGAAGAGTTGGAGAAAGAAGAAGATAGAGATATGGTTATGTTGCATTTAGTGAGAAGAAACAACAAGAGCTTTTATGACTTAGCTAAGATATATAAATCTGACAGAAACTGGTTCTATCGTGAAACTTACCGATTTCAATGACACCGAATGAGCAAATAAAGGAAATTGTCAAAAATACTCTTCCTCAAACACACTATGACATCAAAGGTTGCACAATACTTACATTTAAAGAAGACTTAACATTACTGAAAGAAAAGAAATATAACAAATATTTCGACAACTTCAAAGAGGAAGAATGAAAACTTACCGATTTCAATGAAAAACATTAACTTTTTTTTGACGAAGTGAAGATTTGCACTTTGTCAAAATTTAATGAAAAACATTAACGTAAACATTAACGATAAAATTTATTTCCTGGACTGTTGTCAAAATGTCATGTTGTCATCATTTTTAAAAGAAGTTAATTAACCTGGTAGCACATGGTGACGTGGTGACACTTTCAGTTATTCAAAAATATATTTTTGCTTAAATAACTTCAGGGTCAATTTCTTCAACCATTTCACTTCCTTCGTCAATGTCAATTGAAGCTTCTTCAACCTTTGGTAAGAATTTCTGTATAACATCTTTGTTCGTTATTGTCTTCAGAGATGAAGGATAATATTTCACATTTGTTTCACCCTTCTTATATTCTTTCTGTTCGGAAAGATTTAAAGCAATACTGAAGAAGTCAATATTAGAGTTCTTTATAACAGTATAATGAGTATCTTTGACATTCACGAAGAAACTCTTTTGTTTCAAAACTACTGCTAACTCTTGTGAAGTATAACGTTTGCGGTCAATGACGATAGCTAATGGTCTGACATACTGACCAAACTTAGATTCTTTCACAAACTTCTTGTTAAAGATAACATTAACATTTGAAGCATTATTGAACTCATTCTTGATGGCAGTAGCGAGAGCATTGTATGAAAAGAACTTGCAATCTTGCATGTGTTTCATTAAAATAAAAATATTAAATTATTTTGAAAAATAACTTTAAAAAATCTAATCTAATTTTTTCAAAAATATTTTTTTATTTCCTACTAAAGATGTATCGGAAGTTGTCTAAGTTAGAACACTCGGAAATAAAACAACTTCTTACAGAAGCTAACATAGAAGTAGCAAAGCATTACGCAACAAACAAAAAAGCACTCGCTGACATCCTCAATGACTATAATGGTGCAATAAGTTATGATAGAATTCATGAGTTCATAAAGCCGCAACGCGGCGAGGACGAAGTCCATGCAAGAGCATTTCCTTTAAATGACGTTGCTATTGACTTATATCATAGACGTTCAGTACCTCATGAAGTAAGAAGAGAAATGTTTGACATAACAAATGCAAACGTTGGTCATACTCGTAAAGCTCTTTCGCATG